AAAAAAAAAAAAAAAAAACTCCAAAGGAGATGATAGAACGGTTTCAAGGTTGGGAGGATACGGTGACCGATCATTTGTACGATTCCGTCTTGTAAGGCGTTTCAGAACCTGTCTCGCAACCATGCCAGGGTCACGCTTGACGTCTGGATTGTAATCCAATCTTAATGGAGAACCATACTCCTCATCGACATAACCCCCCCCCCCCCAAACATCCCTCAAGCATATTTTATATCCATCTTACCTGATGGTCGTGGGTCTACCGGCCTTTTCCTGAAAACGGAACGATATGGCACTCCCCTTCAGCGGAAAGATAAGTTTTTGCCTTTTACTCAATTTTGGTTGAATTTACTTCATATTGACAAGTTTGATGGTCCTTGGTTAAATTCTTGCTGTTCGAAGTTAGTTTTTTTTTTTAGTTGTGCGAAGATAATCGAGCTATTCCCCTTTAAATTGGTCCCTCTTTTCTGGATATCCTGTATTTAAACTTGTGTCTCTCATCTGTGTTTGCCAGTCATTGTGCTTTTTCTCTCTGCTGAGTAACCGGATCCCTTCTTTTTTACTGGCTCCTGTGGTGTAACGGCGTGCATGCAAAGGGCATGAGTTCGATTCCCGAGCGGGGAAGGTTATTTTATCAAGTACATGGACTTAGTGGGATACAGCTTCCCAGCTTACAGAAATACATTGTATTTTAGCCCACATTGAAACTGAAATACGGGGCCGAAGTGGCCAGCTTTCTAAGTATCTAAACTGTCTGGATAGGAGCGTAAATAGTTAGGTCCCGAAAAAGTTACATACAATTCAAAGATACCTTGCGCGTGATTGGAGGGCGCCACTGGTAGGTCCTCTTCTTTACTTTCCCTCTTTTGTTTCTCTCTGTCTGTCTTACTTTTCCCCCGTTATCGCGTCGATGTGCTTCTCTTTACTCAAACAAACAAACAAACAAACAAAAATAAGAGTACCCTTGTCTCGAACACACAATTTGCAAGTGCAGAGCTCAGTAAGGATTAGTTATGACAGGATGATAATACGTTCCACACTCTGCCGACCGTCCCATAACGCCCACTGGACGCTTACATCTCGTTATGACGTGATACCACCCGCGAGAACACGAGGGGGCGTTGTGGTCCGGGACAAAAACAGTTGTGCCGAGTCACTGGTACTTTCCGACAGTTTGGGAATGTAACGAGCTCAAACCGTTGCCGCTCCGTGGATTAGCACGACTCAAGCCGCTCAATATTAGCCCCGGACCACCGCACCAATGCGTCAGCTGAGAGCAAGAGGGGACTATCTTGTTATATTGTCCAAATTCCTTGTCTTGAGAAAAATTGATTTTCTTTTATGGTAGAGGGTATAAAGACGAAACCATGGAACTAATGGAAGAAAGATTTAATGAAAATGTGTGATTATAACAAAACTATAGTGGGCTGATTTTATTTATAATGACATACATATTATGTACCTGATGGATCGTCATTTTATTGCCTCAGTTGAGCTGTTTTCGGGATTTTATGCTTTGACGGACATAGTCGCCTCTGGCTCTCAGTAGATGTTCCGCCTGGCTTGGCAGGGACGGAACTATGGTGCACTGGACAAACGCACTCTAATGACACAGCGGAAAAAGACACCATGTAGCAGGCACGAGTTACTGGAAACCGAGAAAGGGAAAGTTTACCGAGCATGTTCTGTACTAACCCGACAGTGACAGAATTTGTCCACTGTGGCCGGCAGTCGTCACACCAGTCGTAGCTTTATATTAGGTGTAGGTGTAGGCCTACCTTTGCTTGGTCGGAGAACTGTTTGTGGCTTTTGCGTACTTAGTAAAAGGTCCCCCTTAACGATTATGTGATTGTGTGGGTGTGTATGTATGTGTGTGTGTGTGTGTGTGTGTGTGTGTGTGTGTGTGTGTGTGTGTGTGTGTGTGTGTGTGTGCGTGTGTTGTCCCGATTAAATACAAGCCTAGTGTTTTCAAATGCTTCTTAACTTTGTAATTTAAATCGCTATACTCTTACTTTAAATGCCACATTGCAACTTCATGTGCCACGTAGTAACCTCAGATATAAACATGGAATATTCAAATATTAACATAATATACAAACTTTAAATGTTACAAAAGTCCAACTCAAATGCCACAGTGACATAACTACTGCAGATGTAACAGCACATGAAAGGGCTGGTTATTATTGAGGAGCAAAAGTAAAAGAAGGCCGACAGTGTATGGTAAACAATAGTTCAGTAATTCTGAAAATTTACATGAAAATATCGTCCTTTGGAAAATACGCTGGAAAATATGGCTGCATGCTCCTGAAGACTGCCTCCATCTTTGCACAGATTAAGTGTGCAATTTCCATTAATTCCCAACCCTCTCATGTGATTCATAAAGACCATCTTTGACTCCTCGACCATTAAAAAAAATATAAAAAAAATATATATATATATATATTGGACTGATATTGTGGACATTTTTCGAAAATCTTTATCTTTAGATCTTGAGTTAATCTAACGCGGGAGAGTGGCTATTGTCCCAGAAAAGCTCAGAACCACATTTCTAACAATGAAAGAAGAGTTGAGTTCCCTACTTTTCCGCCAGAAGGACATTCAGACGACAAGCCAGCGGCAGTTACGGGAGAAGATAAACAGCAGCCACCCCCCCCCCCTTCGTCCCACAAATAGTGCTACAACTCCCCCGTTTGTTAGGTCCCACTAAACCTTTCTTTCCTTGTGTAGTTGTGAGCGCTGTGAAGCTCTTATCAAACTGAAACTGAAAACCTCTCTTTTGACGTATTATGCATTTTGTCTTTTCTTTCCCTATGTTTAGAGTAAGACTTTTACGGCGCTCACAATTGCAAGAGGTCATATGATCGTTTCCCTTATGTATGTGAAAAGGGGAGAGTGGGGGGGGGGGGCGGTTGCAATTTTCGTTATTTCGAAAAGCGATGTGTCCTTTACCCAAAAAGGTTTTAACTTAATCTAAGAACAATATGGTGGTCGGGCGATAGAGTCAGCCCGTTCTCTTGTGTCATCATGTCACGTGACATCGGCAACAACTATATTATGGCTCTTTTCGTCTATGCAGACGGTCAATTTAGCTTAAGACGGTGTCAAGGTTGTCTTCATGCAGCTTCTTTCATGGCTAATTCTTCCTTTGTTTGAAGCGCAGATTCTGTCGCAGTGCTTGCATGTCAGTGTCGTAGATTGAAGCTCTGTATTTCCGCTGTTTTCCTTTCGTCGTTGGCGCTTCTCAGCCTGGCTTTTTCTAAGGCTGCTCTCTAGCATTATAGTTCTTTCCTTTATCATTTTCCTCCATGTTTTCCTGTCCTCAAATATTTCTTCCCAGATGCTAACATCTACTTCAAGCTTAGATAAGCTGTTTTTGCAGGTGTCTTTGTACCTCAATTTTGGTCTTCCTCTTGGTCTCTTTCCCTGGGCAAGTTCTCCATAGAGAAGTTGCTTCGGAATCCGGTTGTCGTCCATTCTCTTAACATGGCCCTGCCATCTCAATCTTTTTAAACACAGGATAGTTGTCATGCTCTGGAGGTTTGCCGGTGCCAACACTTCAACATTTTTGTTACCTTGTCACGCCACGAAATGCCTAAGATCTTGCGGCAGCATCTGAGATGGAAAATGTCGAGGCGCTTTTCTTGTCTGCTGCACAAGGTCCATGTTTCAGATCCATAAGGAGTGTGCTGAGGACACATGCTTCGTAAATCTTGATCTTTGTTTTGATGGTTAATCTTTTGTTTTCCCTTACTCGTTTTGTCAGCCTTCCAAAAGTTGTTGCTGCTTTCCCTCTCCTGGTGTTGATCTCATAATCAAGTGATGTAGTAAAGCTGATGGTAGACCCCAGGTAACAGATTTGTCCACTGTCTCAAGTTCCTTGTCGTTCAGCCATATATATGGCTCTGCTCTGCACCTTGGCAACTACCCCATCAATATTTCGTAACTGCAATTCTAACTACGTGACATGTTTATTTGATTGCTCCAGGGGAAGGGGTTAGGAGATGGTTTTGTTATAAATTTTCTCTGTAGGACCAAGCAGGCAAACAGGAATTAGTTTTTAAAAATCACTAAGAAAGAGGAAAAGAAAGATAGAAATTTAATAGTTTTATCAAATATATTTGGACTTAAAAAAACAAAAATCAGTTCACTTTTTGTCACTATGACGTGATTAATAACTGTGTTTTGATCTGCGTGTTTGCATTCTACCGTTTCGTATTTTATGTCCTTCTATTACTGTTAATGTCGGAGCCATACTTGCGTGTAAACAGAGTGCAGGTTATTTCAAAGGCGGCCCAGTAGGCCTACATGTACTGTATATCCTTCATCAAGACCAAGGACGTTGTATGGATAGTATTTGTTCTAAGGTCCTAGATCAAGACAGTGAAAATACACTGTGCAAATCGAAGACAGCAATCGAACAAACAAACAAAAAAAGATACATGTATATAAATTGGAGACGAAACCCAAACGACCGTTTCTATTTTTGTTGGTAGAACGCATGCCCCAAGAAACAGCAGGTGTCTGAGGCGCAGCGGTTAGGCGTTCGATATGGAGAGAATTTTTAATACCCGGCCTTTTGCCCTTTGGGGGATCGGTTCTCTAATACAAACCAATCGCCCGGCTCGTGTCCTTGAAGACACTCTTTTTCCTGGGAAATTTGTAGGGCCAAATTTGTATCCCTCTCAGCCCGGGTTGGCCTTGACCGGCAGGGTTGAAACCTGCCTCCACGCCTCTTAAGTCCTAAATGAAATGATAACTCTATGTCCACGGGTGGTTGGAGAGCGCCACTTAAAAAAAACAACTTTCCTCTGTTGTTTCGGTCTGTCTGTCTTATTTTTCCCAGCACCGAATGGCCATTATTGTGTCGATGTGCTCCTTTTTACAGAAACAAACAAACAATAAACTGTGTGTCGATGGGGCATAAAAACAACAACAATAAAAAACACATATATTAAATAAACCTCTGACCCTTATCTTCGATTTGACCCCCGACCCGTCCACAGAACAGGGAGAAGGACCTGAAAGACCAGGTGTCGGCCTTACAGAAGCAGATCGCGGAGCTGAAGATTGCACTGAGGGGGAAAGAGAATGAGAACACGGCACTACAGGACAGACTAGAAACACAGGTCAGTTGGTTACTCCTCCTCTCTTTGTCTTTTTGTCTCTGTCTCGCTCTGTCTTGCCCCCTTCCCCCTCTTGTTCATTCTCTTTCTGTGTGTCTCTATGTCTGTCTCCCTCTCTGTCTCTCTTTCTCTCTGTGTGCCTTTCTCTCTCTCTCTCTTTCTCTCTCTCTCTCTCTCTCTCTCTCTCTCTGTCTCTCTCGGAGAAGGAGTAAGAGAGACACAGACTGGCAGGCAGACAAACAGAGATGGATTAGGAGAAGGGGGAGGGGAAGACAGGCACAGACTGACAGACAGACAGACAGACAAAGGAGAGGAAGTGTCTCTTCTCTTCTTCCTTGGACATACAGAAATAAAAAGTTGTAGTTGTAGTCATTCCTGTCTTTTCATACTGTTTTAACATTTAAATCAACACATTCATCTTTTAAATTATCGTTATGACTTGTTTTCTCTCTTGTCACAGGAGAAGGAACATGAAAGCCGACTGGATGAGGAGAGAGCTGACCACGACAAGACTCGAACCTCTTTGCAAGGCACCCGCGAGGAACTAGGGCAAGCTCACGAACGGATTGGTCGAATGGTTGGGGAACACAGAGAAGAGCTGGAGGCTCTCAAAACCGAGGTAAGAAGCTGGGCTTTGTTTTTCTGTTTTCAGGGGTTTTGGATTATAAGTTAATAATAACATGTGTGGCCTAAATAAGCTGAACCCCCCTCCCTTACCTTATTTAGGCCACAGTCCACTGTGGCCTGAATAAGCTAAACCCCCCTCCCTTACCTTATTTAGGCCATATGTTGTAAATAGCATTTGTATAGCACATATCCCCGCTCAACAGCAGGCTCTATTCGCATCACACTATATTATTACCCCAGCAGACCATAGAACACTGAGAAACATTCTCAGCTTCCCGGGAAGCATACAGTGCAAGCAGCTGATTAAGCACTCAAACACTAACAAACCGACAAGATCTTTCGCTGTCTATAGCCGGGTACCCATTCCCACCTGGGTGAAGTGAGGAAATTTCGTGTAAAATGCCTTTCCCAAGGACACAACGTCGGGCCCCTGACGGGATTCGAACCCACAACCTTATGGTTGCAAGTTTGAGAGCCTAACTACTAGGCCACCGACGCCACAGTTACTGTTGGATTGAACCTCAGGTCATGTGTAGTAATTCTAAAATATTTTACTTAACATAATTTAGGACAAATACAAACAGGGCTATCAGTGACACAACAGCTCTTTTGCTTTTTTCTGCACTAAATGACCTTTAATGGGTCAGTGTGCTTCTTTTTACTCAAAATCAAAACTAGTACTGCACGTCTATATTTTTTCTTGTTCTGACCATCTTTTGCCAATATTCATCTAATTCCTTTTCTTTTGTGTAATGTTTAGTTTCCGTGTCTGATGTTTCTCTCTCTCTCTTTCAGTTGGAGCAACAACTAAAGGATGCCATTGCTTCTAAAGACGCTGAAATCTCTGACAAAGATAAAAAACTGTCTAGGTTGAAGTCACAAATGGCCGACGCCTTGAAGGGAAACTCTTGGTAAGTATATGATAAGTATAGAAATATATGTCAGTTGGTAGTTGGCATAATGTTGTAAGTTTGCAGTTGTCATGATGATATTCAGATTTGCGGTTGGCTTAATGATATATATATATATATGTAAGTTGACTGTTGGCATGATGATACATAAATTGATAGTTGGCATAATATTAATAGTTGTACAGTAATCTCCCCCTAAATGCATGCTATACTAAAGCGAGCTTCGCTCAAACGCATGCTTTCGTCACATTAGGAGTTTTTTACTATATAATCTAGAAGTACAAACGCAGTCACTTCCTCGAAACGGCCGCTCTGATCCACAAAACACGCCGACAGTTAAAGCTTGACAAAGGGACATTTTCTCTGCAGCCTAGACAGCTTGCCTAAGGCAGGCCTAGACGACCAGTGAGACTGACCCTCACGCACCACAATGAGAGTAATAGACAGTGGTCGGGTGATGTATTGAGGGGGGTTGTGGGACTGAAATGTTTGTTGATTGGTCGTTCGAAATGTGTCTTTGAGAGAAAGTTTCTGACTGCTATTTGGGTGACTGCATGTAATGTTTAGTTGGACCTAGGTCTTTGATGTGTAACACGTGTGAATGCTGTAGAACACTAGATAGGCCTCAGTGGGATTAAAGATTAGTCAAGTAGGCTTAATCAGCTGAGTTAGAAGAACTTATGACGTACTTGTACAATGAATCCCAAGAGAAAAGTCTCTCGGAATGTCGATCTACGATTCTGATGTCATTCATGAATTTACCTTCGGGGTGGTCGCTTGGAAAGTCACATGGTTGAGCTGTCATCCTTATACTATGACTTTCAAAAACAGTTTCCTTTTATCTGTTCTGTTCCCGACATTTTATTGTTCATATCATTACATTGAGTCTGTTTTTTGCCCCCTCCCTTCAACGCCTTTATGTTTATAATCGCAGTCGAGAAATCCTTCCTTCACAAAACGGTCATGTGTCATCACATTATTCGCCAAAGTGACCCCAATACTATAAGGGAGGTCACTAGAATATCAAGGCAATGAGATGACTGCGTCCCTGCCTCCCTTTGCACAGGTTCATATAAAAATAGACACACGCTCCGTATAAACACACGCTAAGGAGCCCTCCCGAGCACCATGGGTTTAGGCGGAGACTACTGTCTGTAAACTTGCAGTTGGCATAATTAGCATAACTGTAAATAAGTCGATTGTTGACATTATGATATAATGTAATTGTAATGTAAGTTGGCAGCTGGTGTAAGGATGGTATGTAACTGACAGAATATGTATGTTGGTAGTTGGCATATGATATGGAATTTGGCTATTGACACAAATATATATCATTGGCAATTGGCTTAGTAATATATCAGTGAGTTGACGGTTGGATTAATATATAAAAGTTGTTATTACAACTAGAAATGGATGTCAGTATTATTTCTTTCAAAGAAAAATAAATGCCACTGGTGAGGGTCTTTGGCTGGGTGTGGGATTTTTCCTTACAAGACATTTTTTCCACACGTATATATTATGTTTTACTGATCAGTTTTTGTCTATAGATGTATAGCTTATAATATTATGTCTTATTCCTAGAAGTAGCATGGCTTTAGATTTGATTCATAACATCCACAGCTTTGGTTTAGTTTGAGAAGTGAGCTGCATATCAGCACAATAACAGTTATTCAACACATGGAACAACAAGATAGACCGGCAGAAATAAAAGAGGGAAAGAAAAGACATAGGACTACTAGGAGGACCTACAGTAGTGCCCCCCAACCATCTGCCCAGACTTTTCCTTCAAAATTTATATTTACTTAAAACTTTCTTTGTTGGCTTTCGCCCCTTACCAGCTACACCCCAAGGACAGAAATAAGATTAAATTACTCATCTTGAATACTCATGTAACGTTAATGTGGGGATCTCTCACCTCAACCAACCTAATTGTGATGAAAAGAGTGTGAAACTCTAGATTTCCTTCTGTGTGTAGGGAAAGGCAGCAGCAATTGGAGGAATTGACAAAAGAATTGTCCCGCATGCAAGAGGAGAGCGACACGCTACGCATGAAGATCAAGGCTTTGAGTAAAAATAAACAGGTGAGGAGAAGACTAGGGGAGGCGAGGATGTGAAGATGTACATGTTATATATTTTTCTGTGAGTGTGTGCATATGTGTATGTGTGTGTGAGAGAGAGAAGGGGTAGAGAAAGAAATTCAGAGAAGTGAAGCACATAAAGTTCTGGATACTCTAGTTGTATTTTTCTTTTGATTTCTGAACTCTAGAGATTGAATTCATGTTTCAAGTTTTTCTTTTGTTCTTTAGGCCATAAGTAGGCATACATGTATCATGGGTCTCAACTCAGGGAGGACTTTTCCGTGTGATCGTGACAGAAGACATTTTCGCAAGACACCCATTATACTGTTTAATTCTAAAGTGCTGAAATAAAAAACATCAATTTATAAAAGCAAGGTTATTTCATACCAAATTGAGGGTTTGGAAGATATTTTCAAGTAAGAGTCACTTACCAAATATTTTCAGTCTTGACAGGGTGACTGCGGACCCGGCTTCTCAATTTTCCAGGGGGGGGGGGGGGGGGGGCTCACCCATTTTCCTGGCAATGTTACATAACAATGACAGTGCGTGATTGAGTCAACAACATGTCAGTGTGGCACTGGGGTCTTGTGTGAATTTGGTATTTCAGTCTGTTCTTACTTATTTATTATATTTTCTCTTCATCATATTTGCATATATATAAACTATATAAAAATGAATCCTGTTTTGATCCTGAGAAAGGGCCTTGAGCCAGAATTTCGACTGTCAAGAACCAGTCTTTGTGTCATGATTCATTATAATAAACGTGAAAGACAAAAATTATTGCTCAAACTCAAAGTAGAGAAATAACTTGAATGGCTCAAGTAGACCTACTCAGTGTGAGAGGTGTAAGAGCTGTGGGAGGGCAAACTGCAGTGACAATGAAAATATGCGAATCCTGAACAGAAAGCTAAAATATAGAATTGAATACAATCATCCACCGAATGAAACGTGAACCCTTTAGTTCAAAAACACGGCTTACAAGGTATGGCGGATCCCGATTCCATCCAACGCCTGCACCAAAGCGCGCTTTGCACAAAGCTCTAGAATCTAGTAGTACCGTACTCAAAATTCTTTGCTTCCCAAGTTGTTATTGTCCTCCAGTGGTGCCTTCAACCCTCAACACCCCCCCCCCGTTCGCAGCGCTTGGACTTTGAATGAACTTTGTTGACCCCAACTATCGCCAGTAGGCTACTCACAATGTGATGCGAACGTGCGCAGGTTCACTGACCGGTCAAGATGGCGAGCCAGACAAAACGCTTGTATATCTTTCTTTTCTTTTTTTCACAAGTAACAACAGGACAAATACTGATTTATTTTCATGGCGACTCAGCGTTTATAATGCACAACCTGCATGTCACAAATGTTGCGTTATCATTACTACCGATAAATTTCTGGGTGGTAGCGAAAGCAGATTTGGATTTTCCTGATCGAGCCTCGGTATCACACATTCACTGCCGCCACAGCCGCTTGTTCACTTGAAATGTACTCTCAGTCGAGGAAAAGCCGAACAAATATAAGAATCGCGACCGGCAAGAATGAACGGACGTTATCAGATTTGGTTTTAAATATTTTCTCGGTTCTTTCCCGGTTCTTTACCAGGGCAATTTACAGATTTCCTCAAATTCATGGGGTGTTCCTGGGTCTCGGCTATTTTTTTTTCAAATTCCTGGGTAACTCCCAGGGCCTGGTAGTCACCCTGTCTTGGTTGCGTACAGAAAGTGGTAGTTTAGTTGAAGAAATGGCGGTAGCGGAAATCCGCTAAACAGCAGAATATTGAGACCCATGGTGTATATGGCTAATTATAAATTATTTTTGGAAGTTTAAAACTGCAAATATTCTACCACAACACAATTTGTCATGAAAGCAATGACTTTCTCGCTCCATTGCATTAATTTGATACTTTTTTCCCAACATAAATATGAAATTATTATTCTTTTTTTAGTAAAGATTCATTAGTACATTAAGGATCACGTAGATGAAATTGCTCTTACCATACAAACATAAACGACAATCAATATCAAAGTGAATGCACATTTTATTAGTAGGCCTATGTATTACCACAAAATACTCTGTAGATATTATAGTAGATTCTAAACTTTCTTGTCACAGAGTATGTATTGGTAAAATGAAGAATCATTGTGATAAAAAAATATAAACATAATTTGTCTCTCTTGTTGTCCTCTGTGTGGAACAGGGCAGCTGTGGAAACTGTGAGGATAGCTTAAGTAAAGTCACAAAACTGCAAGCTCAGCTGAAGGAGCGGGACCACACTGTGCGGGAACTGAAGGCACTGTGTAGCAAGTTTGAATCCCAGCTCAGCACCCAAGACAAACTGCTGGAGCAGTGGGCAGTCTCACACGGACACAAGATTACAGCCCCCAAGTGATCGCCCTAAGTTTTGGAGGACACGGGGGCAAACATGAAGAATGAACAGCCCCATTGTGATCCTGAGTGCTCACACAAGCCCCGACATGCTGTCCTTGTCTGCTAATTAAACAGACACATAGAGACGCACGCCTTTGATGGGGAAGGGGTTGATATTTATGTTTGCTGATTCTAATAGCACAGTATGAATGCTGTGTTTTGAAGTATCATAGTTTCGGGGGGGGGGGGGGGGGCAGCCTTATGAGATAGGTGAGGTAGTGTCATTCCCATGGGTGAAGATGTAGTTTTACTTCTCGCAATAGGAACTAGGAAAAACACAGGCTATATTGGAGTTAGTGGCAGCAAAACTACAACATATCTTGTTCCCACCTCGATCAATCATACTCACCCCTTGCACACACCCATCTGCGTGCCTAAATATCATTGCTCAATAGTTTCCACTTGCAACCGGATATGGTCAGGTTTTTTCTTATACAGTGGAACTCGAATTCTACGAGGTCGCCGGGCCTGACCTAAAATCTCGTTGAATCCAAGTGTTCGTTATAGCAAACACGAGGTTTTGTGTCGATAATTACAAGCACTGAGCAAGTAATGTATAAAAAGAAGTCACAAGTAGTGCCTGAAATGCCTGCATATTATGAGCTGGGTAAAAAAAAAAAGACCGATTCATTAAAATGCACACTCCTGTGTCGTCTCGATTGTTTACCAAAAAGTTGTGTTGCTGTGTAGAGCCTTGCATCATGCGGCAACTTTTGATTCCCTAGACCAGCGCACAATTCATCACGTAGATGAAGACTAGCTTATCATTGTAATACTGATCAGTTGCAGAGGGAAAAAAAAGACTGTAACGTGTTTGTATTTGCGACGTTCAACGCCCAGATCGCCAGTGCCCCCCCAATCCCCTCCCCGATGCACACACAGCCACACGTGTGCAGACCGCAAATCCGCCCCTGACGCACGCCAGAGTAGACACATGCGTGTGCCAACAATGCATGTGCTGGTATGAAAGAAGGCCGCTGATTGGTCGCATGCTATCGGCTAAGAGAATAATGGTTCACGATGCAGGTGCAATGGATGTTTTCCGGGAATAGATAAAGTTCGTTCTGGGAGAAAAATGAGCGAAGCCACATCTGCGAGGGATGTTCACCCTGGAAGTGACCTCGTTGAATCCGAGCTCGCTGATTTAAGTGCTCGTTGAATCTGGGTTATTTTTTTTCATTTTAAAGAAGGAAAAAAAACCGGGGAATCTATCTCATCTCATTGAATCCGAGTCCGTTGAATCCGAGTTCCACTGTAAGTAATTATAAAGTAAATCTGGTTCAACTAACGTTATCAACATGACTTTGAGTTCTGAAACTGAAAGATCATCCAGTTTCAGCCGATATTTTTAGGTTGGCTATTGGGCTATTAGAAAGACTGTTACGGTAGTTTGAATCTGGTGCTTTTTTCACTGATTTCATGAACATTTTCTCCTAATCTTGCTTGAATCTGGATATTATTGGTCTTTTACATGAAGACAATCTACTATTCTGTATGTTTACGGTTATCATAATAAACAATGAAGGATGTATATATTGACTGCTCAGCATAAGACTCCATCATTTGTCACTTTTCAAAATAGCGTACGGTGGAGTCTTACACTAAGCAGTTGGTTTTAACAACAAACAGTGAAGTGAAGGATGAAAACCAGGAAAACTTGTTCTGTATCGGAGTCATTGGCAGCAAAACAGTTTTAACATTTACAGACAAATGAACAAGCAAGGACTTTACTGCTGCTTTTTTTTTTTAATAAGCTGTATAGTTTTAATCTAAAACAGACTTGACCTACCTGTTTTGAGCCAAATATACATTTTCTGATATCTTGTTGTTTTCTATTCATATGCAACTCTTCTGTCTTGCCAAATGACAAAATTTTACTTCTACATTTGGATGAAAAATCTCTGCCAATCTGGGTCAAAACAACTGTTTTGTAAAGATTTGTTTTTATTGTGCGGTCAGAAGGATAAAGGTATTTATATATTATATCTCAACACAACACGCGCTTGGGTTCGTAATGTTTGATATTGCTAGCATCATACTTGAGAAAGTTCATGTTTGTGATGCTGTCTGCTGTTATAGATCCTGCTTATCACATCCGGAGATGATGGTTGTGACATCCTCATGTCATTTCAGTGGCAACTTGATTCCAGCATTGGGGAGCATATGGACAAACTGGTGTCATATCTCACTGGTTATGTGGTTTCATCTATTCCGCTTCATCAAGTGAGGGAAACAGGGATGAGCGGTCTTTAAAATTGTGGGTCTTTTAAAGGTACTTGCTTTACAAAAAAATACATACTTTCCAAGAGAACTTATGTTACAAAAGGAATTAACTTTGCAAAAGACCTTACTATCCCAAAAGACTCTCACTTAATCAAAGGAACTTCTGTTACTAAAGGAATGGACCTTAATGTATCGAATCTGAATGCTTTCATTGTGTAAGAATTTCATGTATAGCCACCAGTACCTGTCCAGTATAAAGTTTATAAGAATGTATTATGAATTAAGAATATTAAGACTATTATTAACTCTTGACTCTGTGAGACAAAACTGCTCTTGAAAATAGTTGAATAGGCAGATATTTCAAGTTCAATGGCGTTTGTCATCAAATATGAAATGGTTGCTTTTGCTTTGCAGTTATGGTAGACTGACATATGAGACACAAGAATGCAACTGAGGAGGGGGGGGGTGTGTAAGGTTACCATTCAGCAGCAGATCTTGATCCAGCAGTTGTTGCAAGCCCTGGTCCCTTGAGCAAATAGAACTCATGCCCTTGAGCTCTCATGGGTTAACTGGTGGTAGATTTACTCCATCTCATGCCGAAAGACATGGGTTCAGGTCTATAGAAATACACAGTGCTGCCATTAAAAAATCCAAGGGATGGTGTTCGTTAAATTAAGTAAATTTCAAATACCAATATTCTTAATTTTGGAAGATGTGGAAACATGTGTGTGTTTGATATGATGAGTCATGTTTGTATCAGTGAAGGTGGAAGAACAACCATAAGAACGTGTTGAGAATGAGGAGGAGAGAGAATGTGAAAGTAATGGTCATCATAAATTATTGCCACTTAAGTTTAAATCAATACATTCCACTTCGTTGTTTCTGTAAAGTCATCAGGCAATCATGCAGTTTTTATTTCATCATGTGATATTTGGTGACTTTTGTCTGTGTCACTTGTGCTACTGCTGACTCAAACTCAGAAGAATTATTCAAAACTGTAAATAAATAATGTGTGTTCCCCAATCCAATGTACTATTCCAGTCTGACTTTCAGAAGTGATTGTTAATTCTGAGTGAGATGAATTTGCTCTCTCAGCTGATGGTTGGTTGGTGTCACTGGAAGGCCCTACTTTCGCACTCTCCCTTTTGTTGTCTCTTTCTGTCAGTCGTGTTTTCTTCCTGGCACTATAAAAAATGTTATTGTTTTGATTTGCTACTCTTACTGAGTCACTCGCTCTCTCTGATCGAAGTACACAAATGCCCATGAGTGTCTGTCTTGTGATGAATCCATGAGAAATGTGTTTGCTTCTCCTGATATTTGGATTTGGACTCTTTTACTTTTAGCCATCCTTGTGCTTGTAATGTAAGACGAAGAGCCATATTTTTTTTGTATTGTACTACATGTATTTATAAAATTTGCACTCAGCTGTTATTGTCTGTTATTTAATCCATTTCTGTACATTTTTTTCTCAGTGTCTTTTCATATAACAGAGACAAAAAAAAATTTGTTTGTTTTAGAGTTTTAAAAAGTTGTGCATTGTCATTATAACATTTGGGAGAGCCATGTAATTTAGATTCGGAAACTTTCTGTGATAATATTTATACAAACTTATATAAACTTGTTGGCATGGTCCATTTAACCCAGTCAAGTACATGTAATCCGACATATTGTGCTAAAAGTAGGCAGCTCTTTCAAAGCTTTCATTGCTGTTCAAAAACGTTTTTCTTGAAGATTTTCCCTCTGCATAATAATGCCTGTATATTACTAGCCTATACTGAATGCAGTTCAGTCTTATAAATTTATATTCGACTGAGAACTGAGACATTAAAAGTAGAAGGCCTGGCACCTAAGTAATTTTTCCTGAGTGCCATACCTTTTGCACCCCCTTCCCTACCCTAAACACACACAGTGATGCACTCCCCTTCCCTACCCTATACACACATATATATTATAATGCACACCCCTCACACCCCTGTACCTTCACTTTGGACCTATCTAATCCCTTCCTGCAATTGTTGCAAAGAGTGTACCATAGATTTAAAACATTGAACCATACACTTGTATTTGTTTGCATGAAGTTCTACTAGCCAGTTGAGAACTTTTCTATTTTTTCTACATATTGAGGTTCATTTTGTTAAAATCATGTGGGGCATCGTGGTGGAATCAGGCTCTCGTCAATTTTTGGGCTTGTATCGTTATTGGCAACATCTTAAAGCCTGTTCACTTGCCTTTATTTGGATTTTAAAAATATCCCTTTATCTTGAATACAAGTCGAGATATTTGCGAATGAAGGAGGTCAGGGTCACCTGTTTTCAGAGATAAAATTAGTGAGAAAATGGCCAGCCAAAGATTAGTTATTTCCTTAGCTTAAGAGTCCGTGGTAGCTGAAAATTTACATTTTTTGTGCCTGTAACGTTTTTCAGAAAAGTCCACACAGAAATGAATCCTTTAATGGGCATTAAAGGTGTTGAGCCAAAAATCAAAATATTTGATAAAAATTCACAAACCTGCGGAAAAATGCAAGTTTCTTCACTTTCATTATTTTGACGAGAGCCTGATTCCACCACGCTGCCTCACATATCATTGTCATGCTTCAGCCTTTGATATCCGTACAGAAATGATATGGAGACATAAATGGCAATGTGAGTACTGTTAAGAACAGGACAACTGGGTAAAACTGCATTTATGTTGTTACACAGTATTCTGATTAATTATTCATGGCTCCCTTCCCTCCTCTCTTTTTTTTTTGTTCCAGATAAATTTATTGCGATTTGATACTCTGGTAATACATGTACTGGTATGGGACCAGTAAATGAATCTGTATCACTCCGTCCTAGTGTTACAATATTGTGACCATTGTTTGAATTCCTTCATAGTACATTTTTAATTTATGAGCCAATAATTCAATAATATATTACATGTATATATTGCATTCACCCTATGCCAAAAAACTCTCTGCCTAAGACTAAGAGCATGGTGCTTGGGTGGGGAGATGTGCAATGGACCTTTTGTGGGAAGCATGCATTTTTGTAAGCCCATTCAAAATCTGGATACTGGGGACTCTGCTTATAACAGTCCTGGTAAGAAAAGGATTCCGGCTATTGCAGGCTCAAATGAATCCCCTAGTCCGATCTCTTATAATATAAATGCATTTTTAAATATAGAAGTTTTTTTTATTGCAGGCATTCAGACAGACATACTCAGCTATAACAGTGGTCCTACCATTAACAAAACCCTTGGAAAAAATGGGCAAGAAAACAGCAAAAAAGCAAATGAATCAAAACAACATCCTCTGCTAATATAGGGAATTTCTTCTTTGCAATCTACAGTAGGTCTAATTGTCTAATCATAATATTTTATGTGTCATTCCCTCTGTGCATAGGGGGGAGAGAGAGAGGCCGCTGAAACTGAAAGCTGGATGCACTTTAGTGTTGATGCAAATCTAACCAATGACTTCTTAGTGCGACTTTAGTCTGGCACCACACCAGCACATTGTCTCTACTCAGAGTGGCAAGACAGGAATACATGATTTCATGAAAAGAAAAGTAGGCATGAGTGCTTGATCTACCACAGATTTATTTGAGTTCCCTTTCCCAACTGTGGTACTTGTTTGATTGCTAAATAGTTGAAAAGCACACAGAGCCTGCTGCATGAAAAGCTTGGTATGCTTTACCTACTCAAAAAGAAATTTTACATGTATTTTTCTTTTTTTTAAAAGAGCATATGCTCTACTCAAAAAGAAATTTAACATGTATTTTTTTTTGGGGGGGGACTACCTGTGCATCTCAAATGATGTCAAGTCAACTTTCGTGAGACTAAGATCTAGAAACAGAAAGAAAGACAAAGACGAGGAGCAAAAAATATCACTGGAAAAGTAAGGAAAAATAACTGATGTCTTGGCAGTGGGTAATCTGTAATAAGAATGATCCCATTCATTAATCATTAGTCACAGTTACATTTTACAGTGGAGCTCGGATCCAACGAGGTCGCCTGGCCCGACCTAAAATCTCGTTGAATCCGAGTGTTCGTTATTGCAAACTTGAGGTTTTGTGTAGATGATAACAGGCACTGTGCGACGGAAAACAGATCTTGCTATTTTTTGCATCTAAAATATTTCCTTCGGGTCTCTCCAAAGTCTAGACATTTGGTTGAAATGTGTCTACTAATGGTAATATGTGTCGCATCCGACACTGAACAGCTTCTCCTCTCCCTGAAGGAGGTATTTATGTGTTAGGGCCATGTGTCCGATGCCTAATCAAGTAAAAATGACTTCATCTCTTCTGGAGAGGCCGGAAGGTTTTCGTGGACCCAGTTTGGGCTAGATGTGGTGGAGTTTGTTGTTAATATGATTTCTCCAATGAGTCTCCCACAGACTGGAGTCATCTCGATTGTTTGCCAAAAAGTTGTGTTGCCGAGTAGAGCATTGCATACGGCAACTTTTGATTCCGTAGACCAGAGAACAATTCATTATGCAGATCTCTAATTCAAGACTAGCTTATGATTGTAATAATGATCAGTTGCCGTGGGTTGTGTGTGAAGACTGTGACCCGTTTGTATCTGCGACGTTCCACACCCTCAAACTCAATTTTATTTTGTGAAAGACGATGTCTGATCACAGACTAGCTGCAGTCAGCGTTTATTGTGGACTAATCCTACTAATGTGACAGTAAGACATGTAAGTGTGTCTGTGTGCGTGTGGTACACATCTTACGAATGCCATGAAGCACAGCTGCCGTAAGCTGACAAAACACCCTTTTTTCATTCTGGCACCAAAAATCTTTTATTTGCTAAATCGAAAGCATGACCAGTTTTACCCTACTTGACTGAAATATATCAAAATGAAACTGTGACTAATTTTTAAATAAATTAGAATTCAAATTTTGGAAGCATTTTTATTTTCAAAGTTATGCCGACAAAAAAAACCTCTTTCTCAAAACTGCTGTGAATGAAAGAAAAGGTGTTTTGGCAGCTTATGGCACAGTTGTCAGTTCTTGCAGCTTCATGAAGATACTGAACACATCCCTCAGGCTGACAACACAGGAAGCCAAAATGTTTTCACAAATCATTAGCAATAATAAAACAAATATATATATAACCAGATCACACATGTTTTATTGTTTTCTTAATGTTTATTGGGACATTCCCTTTTCAAATAGATATTTACAGCAGTGGCAGTATAACTTTTCTTTCCTCTCTCAATCTCCAATAATTTATGATACACAAGCTGCATACTCACTACACAGTATCAGCCCATACACACTATCGACATATTTGTTGTATACACATTCATTCTATACATAAGTCAAAACATACACTAAATGTGCATCACATATAATATAGAAAACACTCAAATAGCACAATCACACTGGTGTGGTTAGCACCTTCGTTTCTCAATCAAACATCTATCATCCTTATCTCACCTCCTCCTTTTCTTTGTCTGTTACTCTCTCATAACACCTCTACTCTACAGTTGCAATTGCCATGAAACTCTTACTGAAGAAACTAAACTCTCTTTCCATAGAAATAAATATACACACATTTTGTTCATGTACATTAACTTGTCGCAGACACTCGATATAGGGTGGGGTGAACCGGCGCAATTCCATCTACAGTTAAGGAATTTCCAATCTCTTTGTTATAGAGATGGGGATGCAACTCGGACCATTTTGTCCAAAAGACCCCAAGCAAACAACACAAAATAAGAGGTTAGCCATAATTTGCCCGTCGTGTCTTAAGGGGGCTCAGGGGTCGATTCCAGCCCGTTTTACATTGTTTTTCTTGTAAAATATCGAAATCGAGGTTTTGGCATATTGTGACAGTCGAATCATTCTACTTTACAACGTTATCGATCATAATGTTGAAAAACGCCATAAAGGTGTCTTTTATTAGTATTTTAGGAGACACTCTATCCCACAAATGGCGGCCGTAAAGCGAAATGTTGAAAAGAACTCACAAAAGAGCAATGTTTGAACCATAGCAACCAGCTTGCCATCATAGCCAACTATAGCCATGTTGTATACCGTTGGAAAGATTACGATTTCATCTATTCAACAGTATTCGAATCAGCCTCGTGAGTCGATTACAGCGTTGGCCAGTAGCATTCAAATAAGACCACGAGCGCAACAAATTCTACGATGTGGTTGGTCGATAGCAACTGCTGCATGAATTGCCACCATGTCATCTCTTCCAGAAATTGGAACCACATTTCGGAAACGACTAAGAACTATGTTTTGGGCTTTCTTTAGCGTTATTTTTATTTTTAAAATATTAAATCATTTATAAATATAAATGTAAAATATATCTGGTTAAAATGTCGATTGTTTTATGGAAAACAGTAAACTGCTGCGAAATCGAAAGTGCCCTAATGCAAATCGCGCGTACTCGTACCTCTGGCATGTTGTGGTCTACGCCATTGTGAAAGTCTAGCAAAGTGAGATAAAGCCTGCCGTGACTTGGAAAGCGTTCTGCCTATTTCTATCTGCTCTAAAATGCAGAGAAGCGGAAAAACATTAGCTTTTGGTCGGAAAAAGAAACGTGGTATCTATTCCAAGCCCAGAGGGAGGCATGCCGCCGGTCAGGTCCGTGAAAATGACGAAGAAACGACCCGAGATGAGGAGGCCCTCGACACTGATGAACCATTACAGTTGCACGATCAGCCACTTATTGTATCTGACCCCGACTATCTTCAGCTATTGATATGGACAGGTAAGAAAAATTTAGATCCAGATTTAGATTTACTTATTCTTCAAAGCTTGTCTCAGAAATACTCTGGTTGGTGTTTTCTTCATCTAAAATCTTTCCTCCAAGGGTTGGTAATGGTATGATGAAGAATGGAAATGGGAAGGAAGATCGGATTCTCACATGCATGACACTGTCTAGATCTAGATCTAGGTTCGTCAATCTGTCTTACTTGAAATCTAGAAATCACCTTATTGTGTATGGGTGGTTGGCGGGTGCTCTGATGTTATGTGCTCCTTCTTTCCTCAAACATCTATCGTCCTGATCTCTCCTCCTTTTTTGTGTTTGTTACTCTCTTGTAACACTTCTAATTTTCACCACTTATATATATTATTGTGTTGCAAGTGCGATAAAATTCTAAACTAAAACTAACGAACCATGGTTGTAATACAATTTTATTTCTTTTTCGAACAGTGAGCCGGCTTCCGACTGTTCTGTTGAAGAAGGCGACCAACTGAATGCGTTACGATGTGAGCAGAAGATGTCAGCTTTTGGTGACCATTCCTCTGCTTCTGATCTTCTACAAGAAAGATACTGCCTCATCCATTCGTCGTTTTTTTCAATCGTTGTCTGAGGTAATCGTATGCCCTATCTGTTATGGCTCCAACATCTCCATTACGACATCAGGAGACATCGGTTTAGCCTGCCGTTTCACGGTGGAGTGCTATACGTGTCAGAAAAAAGTTTGGTCCAATTCTTCTTTTCCAAAACCCACCCATCGTTACGATATCAATGTGCGTACCGTTTTAGCTGCGAAGGAATGTGGTGCCCCTCTAAGCACAATGAAAACAATGTTCAGCATTACGAATGTTCCAAATGTGATGCATCATAAGACCTTCAGTGAAATTGGCCTTGACGTCAGAGCGGCTGCGATTGATGCTGCGGAAGAAGTCATGTCCGCCTTTGCTAGAGTGGTGAAGGAACGACATCAGGCTGGAGTCTATGCCACTGAACAGACAAGTCCCTCTGGTGTGCAAGTTGTGGGTGTTTCGTACGATGGCACGTGGCACAAAAGGGGTCATTCGTCACACTATGGAGTGGGTGTGGCAATTGATGTGGACAGTGGGTTTGTGCTGGACACTTACACTGTGTCGAATTTCTGTACAGTGGGTTTGTGCTGGACACTTACACTGTGTCGAATTTCTGTACAGTGGGTTTGTGCTGGACACTTACACTGTGTGGAATTTCTGTGCAGTGGGTTTGTGCTGGACACTTACACTGTGTCGAATTTCTGTGCAGTGGGTTTGTGCTGGACACTTACACTGTGTGGAATTTCTGTGCAGTGGGTTTGTGCTGGACACTTACACTGTGTGGAATTTCTGTGCAGTGGGTTTGTGCTGGACACTTACACTGTGTCGAATTTCTGTGCAGTGGGTTTGTGCTGGACACTTACACTGTGTGGAATTTCTGTGCAGTGGGTTTGTGCTGGACACTTACACTGTGTGGAATTTCTGTGCAGTGGGTTTGTGCTGGACACTTACACTGTGTGGAATTTCTGTGCAGTGGGTTTGTGCTGGACACTTACACTGTGTGGAATTTCTGTGCAGTGGGTTTGTGCTGGACACTTACACTGTGTGGAATTTCTGTGCAGTGGGTTTGTGCTGGACACTTACACTGTGTCGAATTTCTGTGCAGTGGGTTTGTGCTGGACACTTACACTGTGTGGAATTTCTGTGCAGTGGGTTTGTGCTGGACACTTACACTGTGTGGAATTTCTGTGCAGTGGGTTTGTGCTGGACACTTACACTGTGTCGAATTTCTGTGCTGGATGTGTTCGTGCACCATCGCCGGATTCCCCTCAGTATGAAGCCTGGTTAGAACGACACAGACCTCTATGTAATAAAAACTTCAACAAATCATCAAATGCAATGGAAACTAAGGCAGCGGAAATGATCTTTGGGTGGTCAGTTGAACGCCGGGAGCTTATTTACGGCACAATGCTGTGCGACGGGGATAGCAAGGCGCTGAATCGTGTGAACGAGCTTACCATCTACAACATCACAGTGCGCAAAGAAGACTGTGAATCACATCGCCAAGAGAATTTTTAACCAGCTCGAGCAGGTCAAAAAGGACAATAAACAGCAGCTCAATCGCAAGCTGACTGCTGCAAAAATCAAAAAGATCACAAACACATACGCTACCAACTTGAGACAAAATGCCCCAGATGTGGATAAGATGAAAATGGGTGTTATGGGGGGTCTATTTCATATGATGTCTATGGACAGTGCACCGAACCACCGTTTATGCCCCGATGGTGAAACATCGTGGTGCAAATACAAGCGTGCCCTCGCCAAAGGTGAACAGCCGCCTCCCCACAACCCAACGATATCCCCTGATATTGGAAGGTATGTCTTCCCCGTCATGAAGAAGCTGACAGATCCAGCACTTTTGGAAAGGTGTGCGAAAATGACCACTCAAAATCCAAACGAGTGTTTCAACTCCACAATCTGGAAACGTCCTAAGGTGCTGTTTGCTCACCTCCCGACCATCGAAACAGCTGTTGCCTTGAGTGTCATATCGTTCAACATGGGACCAATGGGACTCTCCAAAGTGTCTCCAAAGGCTAGGCTTGACATGGGGAGCAGTAACTCATTCTCACACAATTGGATTGGCTGAAACGAGGACTCACCATGCAAGGAGGAAGGGCAAGAACGCTTCCAAGTGGAAGAGGAAACATCCCCAACAGCGGCACCTCAATGAAAGAGATAAAAGAGAGGAACAGGAGGGTGTTACATACTCCTCAGGGGCTTTTAATTGTTGAGGTAGGTTCAGAACACTCATTGGTGTGAATTATTTGGCTACTAACCACTTTACATAGCATGCGCCATGTCAGCTAACAAATGTAAACTTTAACGTCATTTTTCTCAAAACTTCATCTTTCAGGTCTTGCTCAGTAGTTGGTACATCACCATTTTACTATTTCTGGAGATACAGTCTTCAAATTTTGCGTGGGGCTAGTTTATCCATTTCTACAAATAGAGAAAGATTTATAATTTTTGTATTTGTCTTACTTTTTTTTTTACACCTTGATATTTGAGAGTGGGTGGGTGTATTTTCTTTTAAAAATATATGGTTCACTTTGATTGCTTTGAAAAGTACCAAAAAAGGATAAATTAGACAATCAAAGGCTTTCTCTATCTACAACTATGTCACTAGAAGACATATCAAGCAAAAAAATGACCAAAGAGTGAAAATTATAGGAATGGTGATGTACCAAAAAATGCATGTATTTTTTGTTTATTTTTCAAAATGGCCACCGTCTCCATGGTAACGAATAGGTCTGACAAGACAATGCATGGTTGAATCGAAATATTTTCACCTAAGGTTACAGTTGGTAATAGTAGTTTTTTTGTTTTTTAAAGGACGGATAAAAAAGAAACCTCAAATAAATGTCGAGCCCCCTTAACGTAAAAACTAAATAAACAGTAATACAATTTAAATACCCGTTGTCCCAAATTTGGCGGAATTCAAATGAAAGTTAACATCTCATTTATTTGTTGCATGATCAACATTAAATTTATGACAATGTCATCAGCTCTAGGTGTGCAAGGTATTTCCAGACTTTCATTACTTGAACAAAATGGCCAAAGAAACCAGCTGTATCCAGAGCAGACACCAAATGAACAGGACAAGACGATCCTGGTGTCCAACAGTATTAAAACAGCGGAGAAGACATCCATTGTTGAAAGACGCCATGGAAAGTCTGTTCTTACAAAGGACATTTACAACTGTTCTAGACTGCTGGGACTGGGGGGTATTCTGATGGGGACGCTTGTCTGTGGATTTTGGATGGTGTTGTAGAAGAGGGTGGCTTTGGAAGGGCGGGACAGGATGAAAGTGAGGGGTTTTCTTTTTTGTGCTTTGCAGACCAAAGCCATGGCCTAGGTCCTTACTGAGTCTGAGGAGGAGTTCGAGGGTCTGACAAACAGACCAAAGCCTAGGGGAACACTCTACAGAAGTTCCCTGAAGTCCTTGTGATGGATTGTGCATATCAAATTAATCATTTTCTCTATCCTTTGTTAACTGTGATGTCTTTAGACAGGGAGGGCAGTGGTATGCCAATCTTCCATGCCCTTTTGTCTCGGGAGGACAGGCACATCATGACACAGTGTTTGAAACTGTTGTCAGATCTGTATGATTGTTTATAAACACCCTGCTTTGTTACAGACAAAGACATGGCCGAAATTTCTACAACTGACACAGCGTTTCCTGGCATCCCAGTGAACCGGTGCCAGTTCCACATTTCCCAGGCCGTAGAACAGCACCTGGAGAAGGACCGTGGACAAGGACACGGGGCTGTAAAAGCCGTCTTAGACACTTTTATGGCCCAGGTCCTTACTGAGTCTGAGCTGACAAATGAAATTAAAAATTTAGTGCCTTCTGGTGTGGCACAATATTTTGAAGATAATTAGTGGGCCAAGAAACACCTGTGGGCAGCCTCCTGCAATGTTAATGTGTTAAAAATGCATGCCACCACAACAAATACTCTTGAGAGCTACCATTCTAAAATCAAAAAGACAGTGAATGAGAAAATAAGTCTGAATAAGATGCTAAGGAATATCATTGAGTTTGATGATTCAAAAATTGTGGAGGCAAATCGCTTAAAAATCGTTGCATAAGTATTTAGGATCTATGATGCCTCAGATTCAACTCCATTTGCAAGATCAGTCACAAGCTGGGTTGTTTTTCAGGTGTTCCAGCTGTATCCAGAGTAGAAACGCTTTACTCCATATGAACTGGACAAGACCATCCTGGTGTCAAACACTATGAAAACAGCGGAGAAGAGATCCATTGTTGAAAGACGCCATGGAAAGTCTGTTCTTACAAAGGACATTTATTTACAACTGTTCTCGACTGTTTGCTGGGACTGGGGGGTATTCTGATGGGGATGCTTGTCTGTGGATTTTGGATGGTGTTGTAGAAGAGGGTGGCTTTGGAAGGGCGGGACAGGATGAAAGTGGGGGTTTTCTTTTTCGTGCTTTGCAGACCAAAGCCATGGGGGGCACTCTTCAGAAGCTCCCTGAAGTCCTTGTGATGGATTGTGCACATAAAATTAATCATTTTCTCTATCCTTTGTTAACTGTGATGTCTTTAGACGGGGAGGGCCGTGGTATGCCAATCTTCCATGCCATTTTGTCTCGGGAGGACAGGCACATCATGACACAGTGTTTGAAACTGTTGTCAGATCTGTATGACTGTTCATAAACATCCTGCTTTGTCATAAAGACATGGCCGAAATTTCTACAACTGACACAGCGTTTCCTGGCATCCCAGTGAACCGCTGCCAGTTCCACATTTCCCAGGCCGTAGAACAGCACCTGGAGAAGGACTGTGGACAAGGACACGGGGCTGTAAAAGCTGTCTACGACACTTTTATGGCCCAGGTCCTTACTGAGTCTGAGGAGGAGTTCACGGGTCTGACAAATGAAATTAAAAATTTAGTGCCTTCTGATGTGGCACAATATTAGTGGGGCAAGAAACACCTGTGGGCAGCCTTCTGCAGTGTAAATGTGTTAAAAATGCATGCCACCACTACAAATGCTCTTGAGAGCTATCATTCAAAAATTTTAAAAACAGTGAATGAGAAGATAAGTCAGAATAAGATGCTAAGGAATATCATTGAGTTTGATGATTAAAAAATTGTGGAGGCAAATCTGTTAAGAATTTTTGCATCTCCATTTGCAAGATCAGTCACCAGCTGCATGATCAGGTTCAGTGCAGATCTTGAGAAGAAAGGGCTGCATCTTGCTGAATATGAGTATTATGAGGTGCCACCAGGTTCCAGTGATGGCTCTTTTGTTGTTAGCTACAGGGGCAGACTGTACACAACAACATTGGGGTGACGGGGACAGTAATATGATCAAGCAGATCAATGACTCAAAACCATATGAGATTATAGTAGAGAAGAGGGAGGGTGTAAATCACATTGCAAAAAGGTTAGGGACAGGTTGGAGAAAGTTGGTGGAGGACAAAAAAAAAGGTAAAAGTGACTTTAGGAGGGCATGGGAAGGGGAAACTTACGCAGGTTAAGATTGGAAAATTGCAATTACTAGAGCTATCAGGGCACACCAGATTGTTCCTGAAATGAAAAAAGCTATCTGGGCGTCCTTCAAGCACTGTTCGTCAACTAATGAAAAGCCGCAGCATGAAGACTGTCCAGAGGGAGCAGAGTCCTGGTGTTTTTATAAGAGGGCTATATCGAGAGGTTTGCCTGCACCGGACCAGGAAAAGCACATGACTTCGTTCCTGAGGGACTTTGTGACACAGCACATGCTTCCGGTATATCAGCGATTGACTGACAACGAGCTGCTTTCACGGTGCGTTGACGGGAAAACACAAAACGCAAAAGAAAGTATCCACCCAGTGATATGGGCATGCTGCCCAAAGCACGTGTTTGTAGGTAGAAAGAGACTGGAGGTGGCAGCGGTAGTCAGTGTCGGTGAGTTCAATCAAGGGGCGAGAGCAACTCAGTGAATTCTCCAGGACCTGAGACTCGGCATCGGCTGTCCCACCAAGAAGTACAGTGACAAGAGGGATGGTGTTCGAAAGAGGAAGGCGGAAAAGGCGTGCGATAATGTTAATAAGAGGAGACGAGAAATGAGGAGGGCAACCCAACTTCGTGAGGAGTAAGAACTTGTGAGGGCAGAAGGAGGAGAACAGTATGCTGCTGGTGGGTTTTGACATGGGATTATTGTGAACTCCGACGCTGGATTGTTGGATTATATTTTTCGACTCAGTGAGTTCTCATAAATGGATGTTTTACGAAGAAATTGGATGTTGTCTGTACTAATTTTACCTCAATATAATCCTCAAACTAGTAGTCTTGACTTTTGCGCTTGGTTTCAATGTCTGTATGTGTTGGTTATTTCAGGATAACTAATTTGGTTACATTTTCTTCTTTTTCTCAGAATGTAAAATCGTAAGGGGGTGGGTTTCCAAAATACACTATTTCTCAACAACCGTCTGTTAGATCTCTTCGAAACTTGGCAGGAGTGTTGCCAAATACCTCACCTCTGTTCACTTAGAAGGATTTTGCAATAAACCTATTAGTCCCTAAGCTATAGCTCAGTGATCAAAGGAATTTTTTTAAATTGCAGATTATGTCGGCCGATCCAAATGTGTACATATTTCCTAAAGCCTGCACAGCACAATATTGGATCTATTGCAAAATCCTTTTGTGGGAATATTCAACAATATACAGTACTTACACACATCAATTTTTATTAAGATACAAAAAAAGGATGGTGGTAAAATTGTGTTCCTCACAATACACTGTTTTGGGGTCCGAACCCCCTAAGTCCATGCCGCTCCTCGCTCAGATTGTGTTAGAATCACTATATCTTTATTGCAATCCAACAATATCCTCATAATCAACCCAATGAAAATTTTAAAACAGCCCTTTATGCTCATGTCTTTAAAATGGGTCTCAAAGTAGTGTCTCCCCTTAACAAATTAGATCAAATTTTAAACATCTACTATTTTCTTAAAAATAGACTGAGAGGTTAAAGAATGGTACCAAAATGCTCAGTGGATATAGGCCTTTCAAATGGAACAGACACATTTGGCATACAGCTACTTTGAAAATTTAGCTTCTGGTACCTACAACAATACTTACAAATAAACAAGTCTGATAAAAAATCAAGCTCTGTTCAGAGTTTTCTTTTCTTGGCAGGCTCAAGATCTATTGAGCTACAATCGTCATTTCTTCCTCTTGTTTACAGAGCTGGTGCTTTGCTTCTTGTGCTTTAGAAAGTGAAAGTGAATGACACTGTCTACACTTTCAAATAAAAGAGCACTTCCGGTATGGGTTGGCTATTGTTGACTATGAGTAATTACGGAAATTTTTAATTTTGCATTTTTTAAAATGATTTTTGGGGGGGGGCATGAATTTCACGGAAATTTTCCATTTGCGGAATTCTGCAAATCTGCAAAATTGAGGAAGACCGGGAGCTCTGTTCACTCAGAAATTGCTCAGCACAGCAGGAAAGAACACAAGTTTTGGCTCAGCACTGAATCAGTTAAGTAAAATACTAAGGTATGGAATTGCTCCAGGTCACCCCACAATCTTCACACCATCTTTCATACAAATATATACCTATATACAATCCCCCCCCCCCCCCAATCTCTCACAAAGTGTCAGTCATCCAGTCCACTGTCCACATCCTCATTTTGACCTTCTGCGTCTACAGGGTCCTGAAAAAAAGGGGGAGTAAAAAAATCAACAACTCCTCCACAAAAACAAAACATGATACACAGCTTATATTGGAAACCCTATTTCCTATTTGTTGTGCATGCAGAAGTACTGTTTTCACTGTCCAAAAGAACAACCTGTGGACCAACTAGACCCAACCACACACTCTCTCATGAATGAAACCAACCAGCAAGCAGTCTTCAAGATTTGAAGTAAGCACCAAGACGGTACTGTAAAGGCAACATTTCACAAACAACTGGTTAGTTAGGTTAGAACAACAGTAATAGGTATATATCTACCAACCACCCGGTTGGTAGTCTTGACTTATCCCGCTGAATAAAGCCCACCAGCAAAGAAAAAGTACTAAGAAAAAATTGACTCTCTGATCATGTTTTTCTCCCCCATCAACACAATTTAGGATATTCAGGCAGGCTGTTTCATGACTCCCTGACAGAGTCATATTGAGCTGAGAGGAGTACAGTACTCGAGCAAAAAGACAAAGATACTCAATAAAAATTGACTTTCCAAACATGGGAATCGAGTCTTTTAACTCACTCAATCCCGGGAGTTTTTCCCAAAATTGTACCCAGAAACCGGTCATTTTGGCACTTATGTAAGGGCCCACTATTAACCTTAAATATAATTGCTTGAAATTTGGCGCGAAGTACAACTTAAGATGGATCTTTAGACATACCAAATTCAAAGTACCTAGCTTTAGTAGTTTTGCTTTGGGGTGTTCTACAAATTTGACATTTTTGGAGTGAATAATTTTTTTTCATGGCCAAATGAGCAAGAGCAAGCCTACATTGATATATTCGAATATGCTTGTAAGTGTCTAGATTGTATGTGATGTATAACAAAGACTGTTAAATATTTTCATGAATTAAAAAAAATCTATGTGTGAGAAAGGCAGAGAGAATTGATCGCTAGACAAGCTCAGCAGATCACTGTGAACAAATATGCTGAAAGTGCCTTAAAAACAACTGCGATTTCTGCGTCTGTAATAACAGTAGAAACAAATTCCAAAACCCCTCTAGGCTGAACTGGCCGGGGAAATAATAAATTGACCTCATATAAAACTTGAAGCCGTTTTCCGAAACGAAACAACTAGTATACGGAACAAAACTATAGAACTGAGTTATCTCAATCGTGGGATTGAACACAGCCCACAAGCTGACCGAGATATCTCGGCCATGGGATTGAGTGGGTTAAATACATCAATGAAGAAGCTAATCCTTATACCACTAACTCTGATCAGCAATGTGAAGTAATGGCTTGATTAAAATTAAAAAGAGGCTGAGAACAGATTAAAATTAGCCAGATCCTTTCATTCAAACTCCTCACTCTTTAGATCACGATGAACAGTTGAAAATACCAAATGATGATCTATCAGTTATTCGGTTCTTGACCAAAACTGATCCATTATGACTAGCAGAAGCTTCACCATTCAAACAACATCATTAAATCAAAATGATATCTCAACTTTTCTCACCACTACCAGAATATTTCTCTCCTCTTCAGATCAGTGCTCTGGACTTATGACTTACAATGACCTACACCGTCCTATAAAGAATTGTAAGTGTGGCAAACCCCACTGACACTACAAGAGAAGCTATACAGGCAGACAAATGAACTGATCAGGACTGCCCAATTTACGACACACCCCAGACTTTAAGTGTGATGTGATCGAGAAGAAGAAGGGAATTGTAAGTACTTAAAGTTCCAGGCAAAACAAAAATAGACCATTTAAAAGGCAGACTGTTCTGACCCGATCATGCCCGTCAGGGTGAATCTGGACTTGGTGAGATACAGCATTCCAGAAGACAGAAAAACAAAATAACTTCCCGACAGTCATTAAACACATGCTTTCTGTGTGTAACTGCAAAGAGCATAACTTTGACAATACAAATGCCAGTATATTTTCCTGCACAGCTTAAAATTTAACTTCACTCCAAAGTCCTAACAGAATAAAAATGGCTTTGCAGCAGCTTACCCTCATCTCTCTGGGTTCGAGATCCTCTCCGTACTGTATCGTTGAGTCTATGTGGACCAGCAGATCTGTGATGTTTCCTTCATCATTGTAATCCAGTGGAAGGAAGTGCACCAGGCTGAAGTCATCCAGCTGTGTGGTGGATGGAGCAAGCAAGTTCACTTTGAAGTGAGTACAGACAAGCACATTGACTATATATGATAACAGCTATTTATTTTGTGCAGGGAACAACCCAAATAGAGACAAAAACTGCAGAGAGATAGAAAGGAAGTAAGACCTGCCAGTGACGCCACCCTCAAACCACTCGCTGGGCAGACAATGAAGAGAAAAAGCACATAAAACAGACAGGAAAAATATAGGGAGAGAGAAGAAGTAGTAACCACCAGTGATACCCTCCAACCAATAAATGAGGAATTCAAAGTCTAACAAATAGCAATTATTACTGATCAACCCACTCAGCATGTAAAAGAGCTACTGAGACGAATTTAATAATGTTTCATACATATACAAAGTACCCAGTCTTTCTTCCATAAAAAAAAATATATTTGTATGGCTGATATTGGACCCACATCCCTTACTGTCACAGGATCATTAGGAAAACTGGAAACCTGTAACATTCTAAACTAAAATGAAGCAACTGGGCCATCATGAGACAAAATGACCAAGAAAGATAATAAGAAAAAATAAAGTAAGCCTCAAAGGCAATTGCTGTAACCAGCAATCAAATCAATGAGAAAAAATTGGGCTAGATTGAAGTTATCGATGACAGATATCAACATGTGAACCTAGAACTCGAGTTTCTCTAACTTGGCTGAAAATGCCAGATTAGCCATCCATTTCGCCATTGCCCCCCCCTAATTTCCCATCACAATTCCTGACGCTGCAAACAGTAAATAACCATGAGGGCTTAAAGCCAAACAGAGCTTTTTTCAACTTCCCAGTTTTAAAAGATCAATTCTTGGCCTGTGCAGATCAGATAGCAGTTCCCCCCTCCCCCTGTCAGGTAGGTCAAATGTATATATTTTTCCTAATATTACATATATATCAGATATATCAAGGACCAGCTGTTAAAATGGACTAAGCCGAAAACTTTGAAAATTTTATTTTTTGTGGTTTCTTAATTAAATCAATTTGAGGATTGGTTGCATGTGCTCAAGAGATTTTTGCCGAAATTCAAATGGTATATATTGAAAAAAGAAAGATAAGATACGAAATGTAGAGGTACGATTGTTAGAAAGAGAGAAACAGTTTTTTCTCTCTACTGAAAAAATTTGCTTTCTGGGCTTGGGACATTTGAACAGCTTACCGATGAATTATAGATTTAAGACAGATGATTTCAAAATGAAAAACAAGATTTTTTACTTTCTTTAACATATTATTAGTATTAATCAGTCTCACCTAGAAAAAAAGTTTATATCACTGAAACATTTCGACTGCTCAGTGTAAAATTTGGAAAAGTTACAAACGATTGATTCTTACACCAAACAGTCAATTTGCACTCGACCAGAAACCACACTTTGGTCTTCACTGATTTGATTTGATATTCCCTCCCACCCCAAAATTATGGCTAATAAATAATTTTCACAAGTAAAACTCTTCCTTCTCACAAAATCGTTTTTCTCCCCACAAACAAATAGAAGAAAAGTTTTTCTAATCTGTAAATGCTTAAAACCACTCACCAGTTGAGCCATGGCCTTGTTCAGGGATTTGAACTTGGGACCAACGTTCGTCTCCTCAAACTCATCCATTAGGAGTGTGCTCAATTCTGGCTCCAGGTACCTATATAGACACAGAAGTTGCATTACTATTCACTTGCAAATACACATATAAAGATATCTACAACTTCAAACTACCTCACTGGTGAACATAGATATGGCAACTGCCTGAACTAAAGTTAGGAGGAAATTAGTCAAAGCAGGTTCACAAACAATATTGATGCTACCTTTAGTAACTGAACAGTGATCTTGAGTTAGGCATTTGACAGGATGAACATCGTTTTAAAAAATGTCTGTTCCATAGAAGATAGCAAATCAAAACAAAGGACAAAAAAGAAGAAAAAAAGGAAGACAGTGATGTTCTATTTATCTGATAAGGGAGATTTGTTTCATTATGTTTTTCAAAACTGCCAATATAGCATCATAATCATAAACTGAAACAGAAGCATGCTGTTGCTGATCACCATTGTGCCGCACTGAAATAAGCTGGGTCATCAAAATTGAGACAATAAGTGTTGACACTAAGCTCACTGATTACTCGTGTACTGAAGTTGTGTTCGTCAAATTCTTTGGAGAGCACACACACAAACTGACAAAATCAAGCAAGAAACCACCTGCATAGATGCACTTCATCGCTAGCCATATGATTCAACCATCTTAGTGCCAAGAGACAAACTTTGCAGGAGAAGCAAAAAACTGTTTTATTTTTTTATGCTCGTACCTATGAATCTAAAATTCAGATATATGATATACTATGATGTAGGAGGATGGTATGTAACTAACTTTTTAAAAAAGCTTTCTTACATTCTTACATAAGTTACTGGACATAGGCGGTTTAGACCTACCAAAACCTACATGATTCAACCACTTAAGTGACAGTATGACAGCATCTTGGCGTTTGAATGACATTAATCAACGCCACTCTGTGAGCGCCAATGGTCGCTTGGACGTTTGAGTAATCGACTAAAGCAAACTATAATAGTTTTAAAAGTGATTATGAAAAGTTCAGAGTAATTATTTTTGTCATTTGGATTGGTCTTCTGGGGCAGGACTGGTTTTGGCCTTATGGAGTAGGTAAAAAAGACCATACATCTTAAGGTTCGATTTGTACTGGATGTTTTTGTTCAATGTGTATCAAAGGCAACGAACATGTGTGACAATAGGGTCATTTTTGTTTCAGCCAGGTCTAAAAGGTCCAGAAATCGAACACCAAGGGTGGGTGGGACGACACATTGTCTTGCTTTCTTTAAAACGTTCAAGATTATCCATGAGTACATAGACCATATTACACTGTGTGTGCTGTCCACTTCCATCTGCATTCGTTCCTTTTCAAGATATTTGTGTTCAACAGTTTTGTTCTTCCTGGTACAAATGTCGTTGATTGCATTTAACAAGATAGCGTTGTGGTCTGATAAGTACAACCATCACTGTATTATGAATGTGGCATATTTATTGTCAGTAGGCTCTACGAAGTTACTTACACAAGAAGAGAATGCCTTGGCAATCAATGGTCCTTCTCCTTCATTCCAAGCGTGACACTTCACATCTTTGATTACCAAATTTAAAAAAAATATAGACAGCTAATTTGGTTCTGTTATTATGGTATAATGCAGCAGATGCGTTCAAAGTCATGTTAACAAATCCGCTTTCAAGTCCATGCACACTAGACATACTCTAGTCCCATCCATTGGATTTTGTGCCAGTATTCTGACTGCAGTAATGGGAGAGCAATTTCGTCAAGTTTGTCAAAGAATTACTATCACAAAATTGCTTGTCCTCTTCAGCTCTCTGGTAATTTGAAAATCGTGGAGCTCCCATCTCCAAATCATGTGAACTGTCTTTGAAACAGTCATGAATAACTACAATATGAGGGCAGTTGTAAAGAAACTCATTGTTTGGCATGTAAATAGAATGTATGAGATTTGTTTCAAACTGAAGTGTACAGCTGGAGAGATGAAGTTAAAGGCTTGTTGAAGAAAGAATTTTCCTGGCGAATAAGTTTATGGTTTGTTTTTTATTTTTCGAGTGACAAATTAAGTATCATCTACCCTGCACTGATTTACTAATCAATGGTTCAAGAATGGTACTTGACAGACACAGCAAGGGGTGCACACTTAAATAAAATTACGAAGTGCCAAAAGTTGCGATAAAAATATTTTCCAATAGTTTTACCGAGTGTGAAATAAGCACCCCTTAGCTGTCAACCACAGACTTTTACGAAAACTCATTTGTCAGTAGTTTTTGCCACAATTTACCGACTTGGTGGAACCAGTATTAATATATTATTTGATGCCATATTGCCCTTTCTCAACTGCACTACCAAACCTAGTGATAGACTACGCAAACTGCCTTGACAAAATCTTTTGGCTATCAATAGAGTTCGAGCTGAGTCGAAGTTAACAAAGGCGGCACTTTGTGTTGATGTTACCCACCAGTCTGTTTTGACAAAGGCCACAGTCGGGTGTGTCACGCCACCTACGTGACAGGTGAACACCTGAACAAGCCACAGAATCTGTGTGATTCAATCGCCCATTTGCCACCGGGCTGCAAAACAGGCACTTGAGCGGTTGAATCATGTGGAAATTGGGGACAGGTGTGACACAGGCGATTGATTTACTGAAGCATTGAAACACTTTGCAGTAATCTTTCAAACTCTGGATTTTAACATAAGGTGTATTAAAGGCTGCACTACATAAAATTATCAAAAAGTGATTTTAGAAAATGTCATTTAGGCGGTTGAATCACGTGTCTAGCGTCATGCTTCATGATAACCTAACCACTGACCTGTCGATGTGTTTGCGAGCAGATTTACTCAACAGGTCCATCTTGGTGATGACGTTGACATGGGGCACCTCCAGGTTGACCATGGTGGACAGAGCGGTCAGCGAGCCCGACACAAACTTGGCCGCATCCACCAGGAACTGAGCGTCCAGGAGAAAGACCACGCAGACACGAAAGTCCCAGGCCTGCAGTCGCTCTACCAGCTGTCGCATCACCGGGATGTGAGTGTACAGCTCAATCTGGCCTTTGAGTAAAAAGAAACACATTATTCACATCTGATGAAATAGGGAAAAACACATTTGTGTCAGTAATTTTTTTATTCCCTTAATTCAATAAAATCGAGTCACTTTTGTACCCAAACTTTTTATAGTGCAGGGAAAAAATAAGTTTTTGTTTAATGTTTTAGTAAGTGTTTTACAGAACTTGCAACACAATTAGGTTACAAAAGTGCTGAAGATTAGAGGTGTTAAAAGAGAGTAACAAACACAAATAAAGGAGGTGAGATAAGAACGATGGACAACTAACCACTGACCTGTCTATGTGTTTGTGGTGTAGGAAAGAAAGAGAAAACCACACCACAGTAACTGCCAACCACTCACAAAAGTAATACAGACAGAAACAACAGAAAGAAAGAAAAGAAGTAGGACCTAGCAGTGGCTCCCTCCAACCACTCATTCAATCTGACCTGCCCAACAGAAACGACCAAGTTTCAGGCATCAGGAATCTTAAGATAAAGATAGCATTTTTCCCAAACACTCGCATTCTTTCAGTTGTATAAAATGGACCCCCCCCCGACACACATTTGCGTCATTAATTCGTTCTTTATCCCCTTGATTAAGTCATGATGAACATGGTCATTGTAGGTCCATATGAAAGTGCAAAGATGAAGGCTTAAACCACTGTTCACTAAAAATTTAGCATTTTTCATAGTGAAAACGGTACAAGGTGACTGTTGTATAATATATCAATAATTCTTATTACAGAGATGCCAACAACAGAAAACCGAAATGAGTATTGGGAAATATGAAAATGTGTATTTTCAGGGGAAAATGTGTATTCCCCACGACCGACCGACCGACCAACCAGTAATAGTAAAATGTTCAGGGTGTCCAATATTTCCTGAAAAAAAATTACTAGCTCACCAGCTCGAAAAAGAGAGCACACACGCATACAATATACATGTATCCAGTCAACAACATGTCAGTGTTCAATGTCGCACTGGGGTTTTGTTAGACTTAAGTATTTCATAATATTTTCCTCTCATTATTATATAAAAAATAAATCCTGCTTTGAGAGTTCGGAAGGGCCTAAAACAAGAATTTCGACTATCAAGAACCAGTCTGGGTGTCATGATTCACATTATGAACTGACAGACTCAAATTATTGCTCAAACTCAGAGAAAAGCAATAACTTGAATGGCTCAAGTAGACCCATGCACTGTGAGAGTTGTAACAACTGTGGTAGGGCAAGATGCAGTGACACTGAAAATCTACCAGTCTTGAAAAGAAAGCAAAAACATACACTGTAGGTATAATTTACGTTCATCCATCCAATGAAACGTGAACACTTCATTTCAATAACACAGACTTGCAAAGTTCGGGGTCCCGATTCCGCACACGGCCAGCACCAACCCACGTTTTGCAGAAAGCTCTAATCAAAATTCTGAAATGTTCTTCCAAGTTTTTGTCCTCAGATGTTGCCTTAACACCCCCCAAAAAAAAATTTAAAAAATCAATAATCTCATCCCCTATTCCGTAGTCATATACTTCGAAACGCCATTACTCCCACCAAAGACGGTCTTTACTCACACGATGCCGCATAATGATGCGAATGCGCGCAGGTTCAGTGACCGGTCACGATGGCGAGCCAGACAATCTAAAAATCGGACGACGCTTGTATTTTCTTTTTTCCAACAAGTGACAGCACAGCGACGAGTCCGAGCATTTTTTACATTTTATTTGCACGGCAAACTTCTCGGTGCTAACAAAAGCGAAAGTAGATCTTGATTTTCCCGATCGATCCTCGGCGTAACATACGCTTCCGCCTGCCGCCATAGCTGCCTATTCGCGTGAAAGTGAAACGTACTCTCCGGACGGGGAAAAGCAGAACAAATATTATATTCACAATCGCGACTGGCAAAAATGAACTTACTGACCACATCGGACTTCCAGTTCTGCGATACTGATACTATTTTGACAAAAGATGGGACTTGAGATAATTAGGTTTACTCGCGCAAGCTCAATCTCGTATTTTTCGCAATCTGGGATGCATATTTTTACATGAAAAGTCGTATTCGCGTATTTTCGGCAAAAAATCTTACTAAAATACGTAAAATCGTACTGGTTGGCATCTCTATTATTATCAGTATTTGACGACAATATAAAAAGCAATCTCCGCATATACGCCACAAAAATACAACAATGGCTTGAAGACACACTCAGCTCAGTTGACAAGTCAGACTGCTTTCAACTCAGGCAAGCCTGGTTTGAAGAATATCATTGATTAAGGCCATTTTCACATTGTGTTGAATGATTTTCAATGGTAGTCGTGTTCTTTCAGAGATTGAAGTTAAAATTTGATTCCTTTTTGACAGCCCTTAGCAAGCTGCCAGGGGCATTTAATCATATCAAAGAAATTATCAAAACATTGCCTGGACATTACCAGACATTTCATTTTTTAAATGAATAAAATATCATAATTGAAGAGCAAACAAGTTAGATGCATCAATAAATTAAACAACAGTAACACACACTTTTATTTTATGTCCAGGGGACCCTGTTAGTGTCACACATTTTAATGGGCTTTCGAAATTTAGGTTATCTTAGAAGCAGAAGTTTCTATGGATCCCCGCGGAGTCCACATTCAATTGATCAGGCATTTAATTAGCATAATGAATCTTCAAAACATGTTGATCACTACATTGGGAGCCACAGAATTCTTTACATTCAATTATGGAGTTTATATCAAAGTGGAATAGATTGACTGATCACCCACAATGTTATGTTTTGTACACATAAAACCGCATCTGTTCTTATTACAGCCGGGAAAGTCAACAAAACAATAATCAAATGATCACATGGAAACGAAAGAGCATTTTATGACAGTATAATATTTATCACAAAGAAGTGAAAGAAAGTGCGGTTCAATTTTCAAAAGAGCGAGAATGTGACTCACATCAATGGTTGGTTATCACAAACAAACATTTCTTTAAAAACCCAATTAAAAGCAACGGGTCAACTGATTTTTAGTCTTCATTGTCAGCTCACAGTCACACTCTGAACTTTCAAACACATTTACGTTTTTGAGTTTCCTCTGAGAAGTCTTGTTACTTTCGTTGCTTTATGTGCACAGCCTTGTCATAGAATGTGAAAACAGTAGATGGAAGGCTATTCTTTACACTTTCACAGCTGAACTGATGTCATTCCAGTTAATATTTATGTATGATAAACACACAGTAAAACTATTAAGGAGCTACGGTTTTATTTGTGAATCGCCTTGTGGTCTTGGTATTTTTTCCTGTATTTTTCCTTCAGCTCAGGAAGTAAAGTCTTCTATTCCAACAATGTTTGTACTTGGTGCGTTTCTTTTAGTTGTCTTTGTTTGCTCTTTATACCTACAGTTCTTTTCCATGCCATCGTATACTCGTGTCCTTCCGTTATTAAAGGAATGCGCTCTTTAATGCATCCTTTGCTCAGTTAAACACAGCAAACACACACAGAACACTCATTAACGCTCAAACTTGCGTCGTAAGCGGACCATATATTGACACTGTCTTCAACACATTTTTGTACGGCCTTTGTAGATTTATGTGCCACATTTCACACATCAAGTGTTAGAATGCTTGTCCGCTATGTCATTGTCGATGTTCAGCCTATAATACAGTATTAAGCCAGGCTTAAAGTTTTCACACAGAAATCAACGCTGCTTACAAGCTTTAGATAATTTCTTGAAATTGTACCTATTCCGTGCTGAGCGGTCAGATCCACGGATCGGCTGGTAGAAATGGTGTAACCCACCATGATTCATTACCTTCCTCAAGGGGTGAGAGAGGTCAGACCGCCTATAATTAAGTGCGTCTCTCGGAGAGAGAAACTGAACAGCCGTGCACTAAAGACACTGCATCACAAAATTGTTTTGTTTTTTCCTACTATAGTTATTAGCATGCAGGTGAACACGCTTTTCTCAAATGCCACAGTGTTCGAAAAATAAGTGTAAAAGGGAAGCAACACAACTGGCCCCTTTGCCAGGAAAAATGCATTCCTTCAAGAGGACATTTTCATGAACAAGCTACAATTTCTTCAGGTTTGGAAGAATACTGGACCAGTTAGTAAAGACCAGTGTAATGCCAGCAGACAAACAAGTTGCTGTATTTTTGTCAACCTGACAACAGTAAACTTGTTCAATGTCAGTTTTTCACAACTGGTTTTGGACTTGTAAAGCCATTTTGCTCTTTTCCTTATATATCGCTAATTTGAAGAACACTGCTAGTGCACGACTTTCTTCCAACAGAACTAACAAAAGTCAGTTGAAGTGTACATTGTAAAAAAAAAAGGAGCAAGTTGCTGCCAAAGACATCTGAACCTCCACTGGCTTACTATTCAATTCGTGCATTGCTAGCTGTTGCTGCATCAATGTACACATTATTAACACTCTTCTTGGTGACATTTGTTGGTACCAGCTTCACAATGGTGTCAGAGTGTTTAGGCTGACGCCCAAGAAACAAGACAGCTTGGGTTTCTGCATAATTTTAAAATAAAATCAATAACATGCTTGGTTTCAACGAATGATAATGCATGTAAGGGATTTGATCTTTTTGATTATGAACTCTAGTAGAAGCACAATAATAAAAATAGTGTTTGGTCACTGCAATTAATTTATCTAGACTCATACTGTGTAACAATATCAAGAAATGGCTGCAAATCACTTCGCCATGCGAAGGTATATTTCTTTTCGAGTTTTTTCCTTTCACTTGTTCTCCCCGCATGTTTAGCCTGTCCAGAACGACCCATTCCAGCACTAAGCTGACTGACAACAGCAATATCATGTTCATCTCTCGACATCTCCATATAGGAATTCCCAAGCTGTAATACAACATCTGCAGGAAATTGTGCGTAGCATGGCTGACTTCCTGACTTGTAATTGCATAGCCTTTTAACAACTTCTCCCAGTGCATCAGATTGTTTTGTTGTCGGTGTAATTCTTGCTGACAGACCCTCTGTGAAAGCTTGGCAAAGAGCATCATCATCATCAACTGTTCAAAAGAGAGGAAAAGATAGATACGGTTGTGGTTAAATATCATGTGAGATGAACATGTCTTATTTCATGAGGAAGAAAGAGATTTATCTAAAATACTCGAGGATAATTCAAAGACAACACTTCCAGATAATTTAAATAGAAACTATATTTTTAGGCAAATGGCATACAATAATGAAATTTCTCCCCCTTTTCCTCTACAAACTGATTTAGAAACCAGACAAATGCACACAGACCCAGTGAGACTAGCATGTACATATCAAGGGTGTTCAATCTCAAGATAAAAAAATGGGTGTCAGTTTAGTTGCCGGTCTAACATTAGTCCCGCAGAATCGACCACGCTCTATTGCGTAGTGCAAGCCCAGCCTGATTGGCCACAGTATCAACAGCACCGGGAGCATTAAGATCAAAGATGTTTACAATAGCAGGACACCTGGACAGTCCATTACACTCGTCTCAGGGGTCGCAAGGGCTGTGGGCAAAGTTTAAAACAAACTTTTACATTTTCCCCGGCATCAACTTTTTTCATAGTAATAGGGAGTAAAAGAGAAAGTTTACAATCAGATCTGTACAAGTAGAAGGGACTTTTCGACTGAAAAGACACTAGAGTCTAGTGAAGTGCTATAGCAATCATCCTCCCTAAAAAATGAAACACCTCAACCCCTCCACTATGCTCTGTCTCCTGCATTAGTGTGTATCCTAAAATATTTTAATATGAGCCTGTGTAATAGTTTTCAGTACATAGGTGCAACTTTTATCACTTAGAAGAACTACTGAATTGCCTAAGATATTGATCTTATAGATCTAGATCAATCTATTCGTAACTTGGAAAAGAATAATTTTGTTACACTATAATTTGAATATTATTCTTAAAAGTCTTCAGGACATGAACATTTAGTTAAAACTGGGCTACAACTTACCAGAGGAATGAGGAGACAGAATTTCTTCCCCACTTGTAACAGGAGTGGTAGTAAAAGTGGTAAAAAGACATGGGCATGGCAATAGCACACGGATCTCTTCTCCTTCACGCTTGGCGCCTTCCACATCGCTGTCAATGTCTTTCAAAACGAAATAGTCCTCCAAAATACTCAACAAATCATTTGTAAGAGCAAATTGAGCTAAATTTATCAATCTGAGGTCATTAAGCAAGTCCGCAATTTCTCTCTCTCTCGATCTGTAGGCAGTCATTTGGAAACCATTGATAACATAAACAAACCTGGACTGTGTTCAACAAAAAGTCAAATAAACACCAGATTAAAAAGTTATATTTCAAGAGTTGAACTGATAAAAATTCAATAATGAACTTTGTGATTTCACATTTCACAACACTGGAAACTTTATAATAAAAGCTTAATTCCACAAAAGCGACACAAGTTAACAAAATAACAAGGGTCAGCTTGTAGTGGCTTTTGTAACAGGTCTTGGATGTGCAGGCCTTGAACTAGAAATCCGCATCCGATTCTTAACAGAGGGACTCAGCTGAGTCTAGATTCTAGATTTAAGATAAATAAATAAATAATTCACGCACCTGATGTAATGCTTATTTTTACCAATATTAATATTACAGCACAACCTATGATAGGGTTTGACACAATAGAATTGGAATATGAATCCTCCATTGAGGTCTATAATGATCTATATAAATCTGGATCTAGATCTAGATCTAGATTCTATTAGAGCAAGAGAATCGGACTTGAATGAATCCACACGATCTGAACAATTGAATTAGTCAACAAACGAAATTCAAAATGGCCGCTCGAGCACGAAACTGAAAGTACAGTTGGCCTAGATAATTTAAGTTGTCGTCCTTTTTCGTATTCGCATTTCTACTTAGGTTCCGACAATTATGTCGGAAACGCCGACGTCGGCAGTCGGCGGTGCGCACGTCGACGGTCGGCACGAAAACGAAAGTGCCGACGAAGCCGACGGGAGAAAAAGGGGTCGCTGGCAGTCGGCCAGGCCTCGCACTACGCACATTGACTGATACAGGCGGGCCTAGCGATAGCATCGGCCAGCTCGCAGATCGGGTCGCGATTGTCGGCAAACCTGCAGGTCTAAATAAGATCAAGCCTATTTGTATATTTCATATGCACAAAATTTCTGGAGAAACTCCAATGAGAGACCTTTAAAATGGTATGCAATGTGGGAGTTTCCAGGCCTTCTTATGGCCTTTTCTTAAAATCCTAAAATAAGATGGCGCAAATGGTTCCAAAATTATGAACGATTTTCAACACACGTTCCTAAAAAGATTATCAAAAAAACTTTTTGGGGGTTTTTAAACAGTATTATGTCTTGAAAACCTAAAAATGACTAAACTGTTAGTTCCAGCCAAGAACTATTTTTCATCAGATGACGCATTTTGACTTTTTTGTCAATTCACTTAAAAACACTCCTAACCATGTGCCTAATTTCCTCAAACTATATCACATATATAATAACTTTTTCTGTTCATGTTTTCCGAATGTACCACTTCCATACTGATGATTCAGTGCAGCGGTTTGGTGCTTCACCCTCACATGCAAAAAAATTATTTTTTTTTTAAAAACAACTTCGATTTCCAAGTGGGTATAATTTTATTTGAGAATCTCGGTTTTTCTGCTGGGACATTGCATCTTTCTCTGCCTCAGCTGGGTCTGAAATGCACAGCTGAAGCCCACCACTTTAATTAGGGGGTATTAAATATCCTACATTTAAAAGAACAACAACAGACTCCTCCCAAAGATCAAGTTATCATGATGGGAAAACTTTCCTCAATACTCTCTGTAAAAAACATCCAGTTTGACAATGTGAGAACAACATTTTTAAAGAATAAACAAGCTTGGACTGTAAGTGTACATATTGAGCAACTAAATGCAAACTAAAGTCAATGTAAGAAATTAAATGAGAGGCACTCTCGCTGATCATTTGCGTGACAAGACAATAATTTGTTGATGACTTACCAGGACAATCAAACAGGATGTAATCATCTTCCTGCTCATCCAGCTGTTCTTGCAACCAGTCAAAATTCTGTGCCAAATATCTGAAAATATAAAAAAGATACAAGAACTTATTTTGTAGTACCAAATTTATCTAAACGAGTAAGGCACAGATTGACAAGATAACAGCCATTTATGGACAGCCGGGAAAAGGGTAGACAGACAGAAAGAGCAGAAGGATACAGACAGTAAATAGGTACAGCCCATTATCAGCACCCTCTAAGAACCAACTCTTTGAATTTCAAGTATCAAAGAACACTTTCCCTTCAGTTTGGGTGGATAACATGAAAAATTAAAGAGCATTTTTCACTCTAAACAAGGCACCATGGCCTGATAGCTTTAAAATAATGCCTTGGAGACATCGTAAAAACAGTAAGCTTGTACTATCAAAATAGGTGAACCAATCTACCGCAAGGGTGTTCACAGTTAAAGTCATGAAAAATGACAAGACCAAAGGTTCAGTTTTAGTTTGAGTTTCACGGCACTTGCAACACAACATGGTCATATAAATGCCGAAGATTAGAGGTGTTACAAGAGAAAAACAACCACAAAAACAGAAGGAAAGGAGAAAAAAACAATAGATGTTTGATAGGAAAGAAAGAGCAAACCACACCAGAGCACCCACCAACCACCCACGACCAAAGGTTCACAATAAACAACACATACCATAGAAATATAGGTCAGCGGGGGGGAGAGCTATCATATTGTGTATATTATTTTATGCTCATTTCGTGACGATGTGTAAGCGTGTGCGTGTGATAAGCAAGTAGATGTGTGTGTGTGTGTGTGTGTGTGCGTGCGTGTGTGTGCGCGTGTGTTTGGCGTCATGTGTGTGAACATGTGTAAGTGTTATGTATTCGTGAATGTGTATGTGTATATCATGTGTGTGTGTTTGTGTGTAAGTGTATGAGTGTGAGTAATTGTGTGTGTGTGTGTCGCGTGCGTGAATATTGTTCGTACATGCATTTATGTAAAGCGCCTAGACCTGTGTTTACACGGGAGAGGGCGCTATACAAATTATCTTCATTATTATTATTATAAAATCAGTTTGGAAGAGAAAAGGCATGATGGAGAACTTCCAACTAGGATGCTGGTATTAAATGTTCCATCAACAAAACCTGAGACCCCTAGAAACCAGCAAAGAGAGCACCAAGGGTAAGTTTGTTCTTACTGTAGAGCAACATTTTGACGCTGACACATAAAGAACGAGAAATTATGAAAGTAACACAGACCTGCCAACCACTCCATGAGCAAAAATTTGAATTTTCCTCAGAACCCTCCCTAAAAATAAGAATTTGGAGAGGGGAAAAAAAAACAGAGTACCCACAACCCTTCTGGATTCAGATAGTTATAAACCCAAAGCAGAAAACAAAAACATATATAAGTGGCAAAAACATAAATGCAAATAAAAATGAGCATGTTCATATCATTTACGACAAGACGCATAAATGCAAATAAACCAGAGTAGGTCTCCTTTTTGCAAATTCAATCCTGTTTCATTAACGGGGGTAAAAAAATTAAAAGGGTATGATTTTATTGAAGAACTGGGAAAGTCTGGGAAATCTCAACAAGATCAGCCAGCCAATCAGTCTTAAAACAGAAGCAGAGGAGAGAAATGATGCAAAAGCTAAAGAATATATTGGATCTTACTCCATGCAAAATATGAGCCCTCCATTGGGACCAAAGTTGAGGCTCGTGTCCTCCATTGCATCATCAATCTGAATGAGATCTCGCAAATCTGAAAGAAAGGAAGAAAGAACTTAGTTTATGTACTTAGTTGAATTGTAGCTTTTATTTGGAATTATTCATTATTTTGAAGATCTTTCTGAATTAGAAGCTACATATGACAAGGACTACCCCCTAAAGTGGGATATGGAATGTGATTCTGATGATCATATGAATGTTAGTAACTAATATATCGCTCAGAAGCTCTGGCAGAGCGGCATGGTAGCCCTAGGAGGCCAGGGCTCAAAGGGTTAAGATTATACCAATAACCCCATATATGTCAAAAAATTGATGAGCCCCTGATTTTACCATGTTGTGAATATATAATCGAAATTGTCTAAGACAGTCACCCATTGTCAAGAGGAAGAGTGGTTGCCTTAGACAGGTGGACGTCTTACATGGAGCCATTATGGGGTAAAGAATATAGAAGGGAGGAAAACAGTAGTAGAAAGTTGTAATTCTACCAGTGATGGTTTCGTATGGGTGGAGGTAGAGCAGGTTCAACTGTACTTTAAAAAATTAAATGCTGATCCCAAAAGACTACCCTTATAACTTCTCGTAGCTACATTATTTTAAATCCATTTCCTTCATGCACTACATCTGATCAAAGAAACAAGTTCAGAATCTTAAAATTCCTAATTGCAAGAAGTTATAAGGGGGAAAAAGTATTTTCAGCACATGTCTGTTCTTGATGTAACCAGTTGGGGACTCAGAACCACAAACAGTGCTAACGCATGAAGTAACAGTAAAGAAATTTATCCACACTTTGAGAAAGTTAAAATGGACGAGTCTCATACTTCATTTCCGAAGTAAAAAGGTTAAACAATATCAATGAAAGTTAATCTGACTGTTTGTTGAGCATGGAACCTCCTATATTATATTGTCCCTGTAGCAAGTAAAATGAGCAACTCTATAAAATTCTGACAACTCGTTAAGATTATAGCTGATAAATACATTACACATGATCTCAATGAAGAAAAGCAATTGCATTCACCAGAAATTTTGACGGACAAAATGACATGACATAGACAACAATATAGAAAGTAAGAAAGAGTAGCATGAAAATCTCATATCTGCAGAGAAATCAACCAGCAAAAGAAAAAAAAATTCACCAACTTACCAGCCATGACAGGGTAGTCAAAATATTCTGCAGCTGGATCTAGATTTACAACTTGCACCGATCGTTTGAGGTCCTCACAGTGTTTGACCAGTCTACTGCAATATGTGGACTGGGGAAAGCAGGGACATTAAAAACTCCAAATTAGCCTAAGCACTGGAACAGACTTAGTCATATATGAGACATGAGTTTCAATGGTATTCTTTTACTCTCCCTCCCGTTTCACACTTAGAGCTACTCTGTGTTGATTTTCTACTATAATATAAAAAACTGACGCACTGAACACAAATATCAACCTCAATTTCGTCGCAAATTAATAGTTTTTGTTTGTTTTAATGGAACTTTATCACACTAAGCCTGATTGTGTAGTAATTTCTGCGCCTAAGACCAGTTGGTTTCAGAGGGGCATTCCCCCTGCGCATAGGGCTTCGTTTTAACCCATAATTTGATGTTTTGCAATTAGGTTTGAAATTTTCATGAAAAGAATTGATTTGCGACAGTTTTACTGGTTTATGCATGATCTGCAGCACAACATGTCTGCACTTTGACCTCCAAAGCAACTTGCAAGGCATCTGTGTGCGAGAGTCAAAGTAAAAATTTACCGTTTCAACAAAGGTTGGGCTACACCTACCAATCAATCTCAGTAATAAATTAAATAGCAATGGACTCGGGCTAAAGGTCAAAACATGAGCTTCAAATCTGAAGAAAGCCACCAAGGTTGGCAGCAACATCAAATTAAAAAGGGATGAAGTTAAAGTAAAGTTGTTCCAAAATCCGATCCGGATATTGGGGATCGCCTTGTCAGTGAGAAAACTTTCTGGGCCTTTGGAATATTGTGGTAGGGTAGCCAGTTCCTTTCCATGACGCCTCTACTTCCCCAACTCAAAGTCAGGTACCCATTACTGCTGGATGAGCGGGGGGGGGGGGGGGGGGGGGGGTCTGTGTCCGAACCAAGACGCGAACCCGGACTTTCCGCTTCAAAGACGAGCACACTAACCAAAAACAGATAAACTTTACAAACAAATTACACACAGCTGCCCAGTTTTGGCTACTAATGTAGAACAGTTTATATATATATATATATATATATATATATATATATATATATATATATATAAATATTTATCTCTCTAGGCCTACTACATTTCATAAACTAATAATTTGTGGTGGCTATAAAGTTCATAAATTAGTCTAAACACAGATAAAGATGAACAAGAAAAGTTTTAGAATCTAATCATGAGACATGTCCAAGAATAAAATAATACAGTCACTACCTATAGACTATAATAACAAAACATCAGCAGCATACAACAGCAACAAAAACCACTAGGGGCAACAACAACAACAAGAAAAGAGCTGCGACTGCCTTTATTTGTTAGTTTGGTGTGTGTGCGTTGTGATGGACATACTTTCCCACTTCCCGCAGGTCCAATGACAAGTTGAGCGTATCTTGGCATCTTGAAATCTTGAAAACACACTTGTAATCCTAGAGTTTGTTCATAAGTCCGACTGTTGTTTTGTTTACATCGACGATCCTGCTGAACTCGTGCCTACGCACAATCGGTAGGCCTGTTCCTATACTATCACTTAAGGCGTGCGTCGCGTGCTTTCAAATCTGAAACAAATGGCTGGCTGTGGGTTGGCCGACTCGGAAGAACAAAACAATAATATATTACCACAAGAGTGATTTCCCTTGAATCATGTCTACAACTACGCCACAGTACACCGTGTTAACATGTTGTTTCAAATGTTCTATTTTGGCCCAGATGTACACGAGTAACTCTATGTTTGGCCTTTAGAATCTATACACTATGTATTGCTACATGTAATACAATACATCATTATTATTATTACGTGTAGTATAATTAATTCAAGGTACAATATTTCGTCTTTGAGTTTTATAAAATCGTCCTTTCCTTTTATACTTCATAACAAACAAAAATATTTTTAGTCTTCAAATTAGTAGTAGACTAGTAGTAGTAGTAGACTAGTAGTAGTAGTAGTAGTAGTAGTAGTAGTAGCAGTAGTAGTAGTAGTAGTAGTAGTAGTAGTAGTAGTAGTAGTAGTAGTAGTAGTAACAATAGTAGTAGTAGTAGTAGTAGTAGTAGTAGTAGTAGTAGTAACAATAGTAGTAGTAGTAGTAGTAGTAGTAGTAGTAGTAGTAGTAGCAGGAGCATTATTATCAGGGCGGCTGGTGGTTTGTAGAACTGACCGACTGTAATTCCAATCGATACCTCCCCTCCACCCCTCCCCCTCAGAACCCCTACAACAGACAGACAGACAGATAAACAGACGGACAGACAGACGTTCAATTTTTTACCTAACGGTACACTATAGCTTTTTTGTGCGTGTGGGTGGGGTTGGTAGGTAAGTGAGAGAAAGAGAGAGAGGGAGGGATCGAGAGAGAGAGAGAGAGAGAGAGAGAGAGAGAGAGAGAGAGGGGGGGGGGGGGGGGGGTAATAAATAAAAAATGTTTAGCCTAGTTGAAGAAAATCCATGGAGTTACAAACTTCAAAATATAAATCAAAGCTTCAAGACATTGATTGAAGCCACTGAAATATGGATAGAAACTGACTTGATTGGCACGAAATAAGAAATACTTTTACGGTATATTAGAAAACAAACTGAAAGTGAGAAGCAACCACCTCTTAGCCCTGCCCCTGTACATCACACAAAGACCTACTTTTCACACACACACACACACACACACACACACACACACACACACACACACACACACACACACATACACACACACACACACACACACACACACACACACACACATACACACACACACAAAGTCGCGACGTGCACTCGCTATGTAAAAAAAGGAAACCTGTGTCCTGACAATTGATACCTTACCAACGACGCTGTCCCATGTAGATGAAGTCTAGAACCAGATACTTCACACTGTAGCCTACTAAACACACAGCCTCATACACATTTAACAAATTTAGCCCATGATAATTTCTGATCTTATTCAAAAGTTTTTTTTTTCTATGTTCTTCTCTACTCGCAGAACACTGCTCTCTATAGAGAACTGTGAAAAATGCTAATTATGAAAATTTGAGTCTAGCTAGGGTGAAGGCGGAGAAGAGGAAAGGGGAAAAAGGGGAAAGGAAAAAGGGGCGGGGGAGGTGAAGGGTGTATTGTTTTAGGTCCAGACCCTGACAGCCGAACGGGATGCTTCCCTCTCCTTGTTAAAATTCCCTCTATAACATTACTGGGAGGAACGAAAGATCGCCGGTCCAGGGTCCTGGCCAAGTAAGGTAACTCCAGGAAGTAGGAGACGAAGAAAACATCAAACAGAACCATGGATGGCTTAAAATTCAATAGAAATAATTATGTTAACAATAAAAGTACAAGCAGTAATAAGAGACAGGTTGAATGATAAATGTAACTGATGAAATTATGTAAAATAATATCTATTAGTACTGCAGACGTGTCCTTCTTTCGTAAATAACAGAGAGGCCATTTGGCAATTAGAAGCCGTCTCTTTAGTTCTCTGGGCAAAAGTTGAATTCGCCCGGAGGCTGACGTCACCGCTGCGCAGGCACTGTTCGGAAAGGCGTCGCGCCTTGCTCAGAGAAGTTTCACATTGTGACAGGGGCAATTTACATACGAGCCGGTGTGATAAACAAAGATGACGGTACGAGTCTCTGAAGTGCGACAACACACTAAAGAACCACTATTTTAGTCAGCATCTTCAAATCAGCCGAATGCTTTTTGACCGTTGATTAAATATTAATATGTATTTACTTGAAACGAAATAAAAATTGTTGTCAGCAATCGTTCCTTTGTTGTACAGCCAACAAAAACCGACAGGCACCGCCGGCCTTCTCCTCGGCCCTTCTCCTTCTTCTTCTCCTTCTCCTTCTCCTACTTCTTCTCCTACTTCTTCTCCTTCTTCTTCTCCTTCTTCTTCTTCTTCTTCTTCTTCTTCTTCTTCTTCTTCTTCTTCTTCTTCTCCATCAGCACTGAACGTAAAAGACGTTAGTTTTTGATTGGCTTAAAAAGAAAAAGAAAAGAAAACATGTAATTAATCCACACTGTGTAGCGTCATTATATGTATCCCCTACGTTCTTAAAATTGTATATTTCATTCCATCATTTTTAGAGATTCACCTACCACGACCTCAAAATAATGCTGAACTTCTCTCCAAATTTAATTTGACAAATATTTCCCTTGGCTTTCTTAGATCTCTCCTCAAAAGCTCTAGTTTCGGAACCTCATGATCTAGCCTGGTGCAGTAGTAAAGATCTTTGCTCAGGCACCACAGAGGTAATTGTTAGATAAAAGGTTGACTCAGGAAAATAACAGAGGAGATTAAGTGTCCCTCCTTCCCCCTTTCAAAATATTCAGTGTGTCCAATTGATTGGGTGAAAGAAACAGGCAGATCAGGTCTCTGGGCAAACTAAGTAACATAATGTATAAATAATGTTTATTCGCACACCGTCTCACAAAACTTTCGCCAAGGACTCCGCCAACTCCAAGGACCACAGAATTCTACATTAAGTGTAGAATTCTGTGCCAAGGACTTATATATTATATAACCTCTGGACCAGAGAGAGTTTACAGTAATAGAGAGGTGACACTCGTGGCGGCGCTCCATAACAAAAGTGCAATGTTTCGCGTATCGCCCGGCGCGGGGCGCGAAAACACTTACGCGCGGTGATCGCTGCCACAGCGATGCTCAGGGATTCTGCCATGTCATGAGAAAATGTAGTGCCGTCTGTAGTTAGTTCACTAGGTTACTAGGCCTTTAACAAAGAAGGAGGCCTGCCCCCTGCCTCCCTCGGCCACAAACTGTAAGACTTGTTTTTGGCTTAAGTTAAATTAACATAATTCTAATAAACAAATAGACGCAAATACTAGATATGAAAAAATAGTATCCCCGTAATTAAAGGAATAATCTGTTTAATTTTCAGCAAATCTACTCATTCTCCAGTGTCCCCCCCCCCT